CGCATTGTCAGAATTGCGTTGCCGCAGAAGGACTCGAGGGTTGGCAGCGACTGGTCCACCTGGAAGTCTGGCAAGCCAGCAGGCCAGAGCGCTGAAAAGAAACCCCTTCTTGCGGCTCGAACTGTCCGGGCTGCGGCACAAATCCAACTGTGCCCTGCCGGCACGTCTGGCTGATCGCAGTCAGCTTGGAAGGCACCATGCCAATGTCTAGCAACGCCTGGCTCTAGGTCGGATCAGCAGCTGCGCGAAAGTTGTGCGTAAGGCGCCAAACCTGTGCGTCTGTTGGGAAAACAGCGGAGCGCAGAATGCTCTGTTGAACCACGGCCTCACGCGGCTGATGCTCCAGGACGGGCAGAACTTGACGAAAGTCACCACCAAGAAGAACGATCTTACCTCCGAAGGGTAGGGAGTTTCCGCAAATGTCCTGCAGAGCTGCGTTGACAGCGTCCAATGCTGCCCATGGTGCCATAGGTGCTTCATCCCAGGCGATGATAGAGGCGTTGCGGAGGATGTTGGCCCTTGCACTGCCACGACGCAAAGAGGAGCTACACGCGTCTGCTGGTACTGGGACAGGCAAGCCGAAGGCGGAATGACACGTGCGGCCTTCCGGAAGAAGCGACACAGCAGCACCGCTCCACGCCGTGGCAAGAAAACCCAGCTGATGTCCCCGCGCCAAAGAAATCAGAGCCAGATAGCAGAATGTTTTGCCAGTCCCAGCTGGCCCGTCAAGGAAGGCGACCAAGGGCTGCCCACGCTGCAACGCAAAGGCCACAGCGTCGAAGAAAGAAGCTTGATCAGGATGCATAACTTCACGCATGGAGCGAGCTTTCTGCAGTTCTGCCGCAGGATGGCAAGCCGGAGCCCCATCGCGGCGCGAGCGGCGGGCGAAGGCTTCACTGGCCTGCTGTATTTGAAGAGCTGTCCAGCCATAGTGGATAAGAGATTTGTCCAGGCGTTGCAGCTCACGTTCTAGGAGGGCCAGGAGAAGGATATCTCGCAACGGGGCAGCGAGATCCTCCGCCAGATCAGCAGCGAAGGATGCACACAACGACTGCGGGTCGCGGACCTCACAGTTTGCGAGAATATGCACGAAGAGCAGGCGCAAACGGGCAGGACTGGACGTTTGCGCTGCCTCGGACAGGCAACGTCTGCACTCGTCATCAGAAGCGAGCAAGCCGAGAGCATCTAGCCCCACGTCTGTGTAAGAGCAGGAGGTACAGGAAAAACCTCTCGTCGCGTCTTCCAAGCTGCAGCATCTTGCTTCCAGCAGAAGCGAAGTGGAACTTCGCTGTAGAGCAAGGTGCGAGCAACTGGACCATGCGTGGGGTCTGTGTTCAGGCGGAACCATGCTGTGAGGGTCGTATCCCGCTGTGCACTGCGTCGCAGCGCTGCTAGTTCATTCCCAGGCCGGAAAAAGACAGGCTGCTCCAAGGGGAGATGAACTGCCAGGCGCTCAATGTTATGCGACAGGCCGCGCATGGGAAACTCAAAGATACGCCAGCAAGCTTCAGGGGGGCTCACGAAACGGCCGTCCAAGAAAGAAGCGATTTTTATTTTCATCGAAGTCCAGACGGGCACGATCGTGACCCTTGTACGTGTACTTGTAAAGGTACTTGACACTGTGAATGGACCCGCAGTACTCGAGGTTGATGTGGCAGTTGAGCGTGCTGTTAAGGCACCACGTCCCGCGCATCCACAGGATGGGCGCCCTTCAGGGCTGTCGGAGAAGTTTGGCGTCGACGGTACAACGGGTAACCGGAGACCTGACAGGGACAGAGTATATACCAAGTATGAAGGCGAAAGAAAAAGAATACGTTGGAGAACAACAACGAAAAGAATCTGGCCTGGAGGACTGTTTCAGGCAGGAAGGCCTTGGGATAGTCACGTGTGCATCGTCCAAGCTCCACGCAAGGAGCTGTGGGGCTGCGCAAGCCGCACGGCCCGTGCACTTGGCAGCCCAGGATAGTACCGAAGAGGCGCGGCTGCGTGACGGGGCTCGGCAACTCGGCCGCGATGACGGCATCGACGTCTGCCGCAGTAACACAGCGGGACGCCGGCCGCATGATGAGAAGGAGATGAGCATGAGGCAGCCCGCGCTGTTGGAATTCCACGACATACGACCAAGCGAGCACGCGACCCAACACGTAACAGGTGCTTCAACTTCAAGCGGAAAACGCGTGCCACCAAGTCGGGACGGTCAGACGCTTGTTCCCCATGCGGCAGAGCAGCGGTCACCTCTGGCGTTGGCAGTCATGGTCAGGAAATAGTCCGGCTTGCCCAAGGCGCGAACCAAGCACATGGCGTCAAGGTAATTTTGCCGCATAGCTCGCGGGCTGCCAGGGTAGGAGGCGGCCAAGATAACAGGATGACCCGGCAGCGTTGCAGAATCACTACTGAGTCCATCCACCAAGCCTTTGTAGGACTCACAGCGCAGCGCTGGCTGGTTGAGACGATGCCACCGCAGACGCTAAGCCTCCGCACGGCTGAAGGCGTCGCAAACACACTGCTGGAAGAGGAGTCCCCCGGACAAAGGCAAACCGAAGCCAGGAATGCGGCGCATGAGGCGAAAAGAGTAGAACTCGATGGCGGAAAGGCGCTGGTTTCGAGGTGTACGAAAGTCAGGACAGTGCCGCATCGAGGGGCTCCAGCCTTGCTCGCCTGCAGGGAACAGCAACGCACAGGCCAAAGGGTCGACGTGCTAATTGCACTCGTTGACACGGTGCTGTGGATGCTGGTGGGGCCACACAACGATGTCACGATTGGTAGCAGGCACGCCGTCACGGCCGCCAAAGACTGCCGCGACCTCGGACTGAGTGGGTCGGGCGTACCGACGGGACGCAGCCCGAGGGCGTGCCGGGGCATCAAAGGCGGCAGCAGCTGCAAAGCCAACCGAAATGCCACCCGCGGCAGGCTGCTCGTCGACAATGCATGATGCGGGAGAGCAAACGCAAAATATCGGCATCCAAAGCAGGGAACTGTCGCGCGCGCTGCTCCGCCGCCACGTCAGGATCATAAAAGTACAGTTGCGCGTACCGAGCGGAGGCAGGATCTGCGGCGAAGAGCTGACCTGCCACGTGGTAGACAGTGCCGTGGCTGACGACGACAGGCGGCCCGACCCCAGGAACTGAGTTGAAGCACTCCAAGCCGAAGGAGAGGAAGGACATGGCCGAGTTGTAGAGGCGGATGGCAGCACGAAAGTGGCGAGCACGCTCGCCGCTCTCTGTGAAAAGCGCCTGCAGCTCGGGCGGCACGGCAACATTGCCGTCAAGATGGGACGTCTTCCCCTTGCGGCAGCAGATGCTGAAGACGTTCCCTGGGCCCGCGCGCTCGGAGGGGAAGTTGAGCGAACCACAGTGCCGACAAATGGCAGACATGGTGGGCAACGAAAAGACTGGTGCCTGAGCTTCCAGAAAGTCAGGCAGGGCTCGCACTGCCGGCCCGCCGAAGTCCGGGTCGGAACTGCCAAGGGAAAGTCCCGGGTCGGAACTGCCATATGCTTCCCACGCAAGCGACGTCGCACGCGACGGTCCTGGCCAGCAGCCGCGACATTGGCAGCGGCGGGCGAGGCAGCAGCCGCAGGCGATGGTGCAGAAGCGGCGGCCGGGCCTGCGGTAGAAGAAGAAGAAGCAGCAGGCCGCTTGGCTCTGAAGCGAAGTGCCATGGCGCGACGGCAATCTGCCTATGAAGCGCAGCCCACAAGGTGAAGTCAGTCGTAAGTGGAAGGCGTGCGGTGGTTGGCAAGTGAATGTCCGCATGCGCGCGCTACATGCAAGTTATGTCTGCGTACATGTTGGTTTGGTGTCTCTTTGTGGTTTGTGTGTGTGTGTGTGTGTGTGCGTTTCTGTGCTCATGTGTGTGTGTGTATGGTGCGCGTGTGTCTCTATATTGTCCGTGGGTTGGCTTTGATGTAGCGCTAGCTGATGATGCCGCCTGGAAGGCTTGCTTGGCAGCCCGGCGGGGGTGGACAGGGCAGGACTCGAGCCCACGACCACGAGGATCCGAGCCAGGAGCTGTACGGGCTGGAAACGAACCGACGCTGGCGAAGTGGCAACCAAACCCAGGCCAACTTGGCTCTGGGAGGGGTAACCCAAGTGAAGCCGGCCATAGTTTTGCCAAAAGGCCAGCTGGCAAAACCCTGGCCAACCTGGCCTGGGAGGAGTAACCCAAGTGAAGTCGGCCGTAGTTTTGACGTTTCGCGGGAAATGATCGGCAAGTGGAGGACATGACTACCACACAGGCCTGCATGATGAAAAGTAGTAGACGGAGAAGGCTTCAACCTCGCCCGAAACAGCCAGCTTAGAAAAGTTACTCAAATATATATAAGATATACATTTTTCTATATGTATCTACATGTATATATATATATGTGTGTATATATATATATATATACACATGCAGGGGTACAAACTGTTTAAGAGTTGCTTGGAGCTGCAACAAACACGTCTTCGGTGGCCGCGAAAGGGTTTTGGGGTGGGGCGGGGGTTCCGGGGGTGGGGCCTAAATGACATCAGACTTGTGTCACGTTTGTTGTCCCACCTACATCATATTACTTTGTCTTGGCCACCAACAATGTCCGCCAGAGTGCTGCCATATACTTGTGTTGTTTGACGTCAATGTTGGAAGTGTTGCTTGACCTGCGTTCAACTCTCAATGGGATTACACCGATGATATATACACATTGTATTGCTATTTATACACATACACATATACATACATCGGTCCACTGGTGACCAATTTGGACCCACACCCATATGTATATATATATATACATACGTGCGCATACGTGGCAGCGATACCAACATGGCCATGGGTCAACAGCCCAATCGTACCCCCAGTGAACAATTCAATCCAACTAAAATAGGTTCCAACATGGGTGGTGAATTCCCAATCCCAACTAAAATTGGTTCTAAAATGGGTAGTGAATTCACCCACCCCAAAATGGGATCCCAAAACGGTTTTGACCACCACGGCCACATCGTCCATTTTGCTTTCCAGGCCGCAGGCGCGAGATGGCCGCGACCCCCGGGGGGTGCAGCGCCTCCATGAGGCTCTCCAGCACCAAGCTGTCGAGGGTCGTTTGCCCGCTGGAGACGCTGCGCCAGTCCTCACGTGGATTGGGGGTTGGGGGGAGGGGGGGTTGGAGGGGAGGGGAGAAGGGGCGAGGGGAGAGTGGGAGAGGAGACTCACCGCGGATTCGAAAAGGGGGTTGGGGGGAAGGGGGTTGGGGAGGGTGGGAGGGGAGAAGGGGTTGGGGGAGGAAAAGAGGAGCAGGGGGAAGTGTGGGGTTGGGCGGTTGGGGGTGAGGGGAAAAAGGGTGAGGGGGGGGAAAAGAGGGTGTCAAAGGGGGCAGGGGTTGGCGTGGGGGAGGGGTGAACGGGGAGGGGTGGAGGGGGGAGGGGGGTGAAGAAGCACTGAACAGATGCTACCAGCCAAACCCATCGTGGAAGCTGCTAAATGGGTGCCGTTTCCAAGAAGGAAACTTCCTCCTGGGCGAAGTCAGTCGTCGGACCCTCTGAGGTCGCAGCAATTTAGGCTCACGAAGCCAGTTATCAGCTTGCTCCCCAAGCAAACATGCATCCCCGGTGGAAAAGACGTTTGCAGCAATCAAATGAAAAGGCCAGTGAGAACATGTGCCCACCGTGGCTGTTACATGCTGTATCTTTGCAACTTTGGCGATGTGACAAAACTCGCTGTGTTCAGGCTCACTGAGTGATTCACATGCGACCCCCAGCCACAGCATCAAAGCAGTGTCAGCTGAAAGTTCATTGAAACCTCCAAGAACCTACCGGCAAGGACTCCTGTAAAACAACTGCAGCACCTCCAAGTCTTGCATCCGATGAACGTGCCATACGCTGGACTTGAGAATGGATGTGTCCAAATCAGGTTGAAGAGCTGGGCATTCCAGACCAGCAACCTCCATAGCTTCAGATACTGTGTGCAACTTACAAATGCTTTCTTTTGAAAACACTTCCAAAGGTCACGGTCACTTCATGTGGCACAACTATGCTGGCAGCCCCGCGCTGGCTGTCAGACAACCCTGCGAACCGTGGATGTAGATGGGCACCCTTCCAGCCGACCACCCGGAAAACACAAGAAGGATCGGCGAGGCAAAACGCAGCGGGCTTGCATGTGCGCGGTGCACAACGCGCATAGAATTTAAGTCGTGCTTTTTGGACAAAATAGTGCTGGGGAAGTCAACAAAAAGGGCTTCGGGTTTGTCTCCTGTTGTTTTTGCTCTTCTATTTTTCCCTTTTTGGCGGGGGGTGGATGGACCCTGTTTGGGGTTCACCAGGGAAACCAACCGCTTAAAGTGAAGAACATAAGAGGGTTCCGTCCCCCCAAAAACATCGGTAGGGCCGACTCGACGAGTCGTCCTGGTGCAGTCCCCCGGCGGTGGTCTTGGGGTCCGTAAGCTCCAGAAGCTTCTGCAAAGCGCGGCTGATGAAGGACCCCCCGCCCGCGTCCGGGAACCTGCCGACGACGCATTCAAAAAAACGACGCGGAAGTGGCGTCCGCGTCCAGCGCGCTAGGCCGAAGCTGAAGGGGACCCCGGAGAAAGTTCGGGGGATTTGTTTGGGGATTGGAGACCCATGGCGGGGAATTCCTTTTGGGCTTCCCTTTGCCAAGCAAAAGGAACAGGACCGCAAACAAGACCAAAGAAAAGAAGTCAACCTCCGTATCAACCATGCTGTTCCAGCTTTAGCCCCTTAGTATGCCACCAGAGTACGGGCCCCCTACACCAAAGTAGAAAGGCCTTGGACACGTTCCGTAACGAGAAATCAGGCTAAATCCTTCGAGAAAGATCGTCTTAGTCCTAGTAGAGCTTGCTAATTTCATTATTTGCACAGATGCGACAGCCGGTCATTTGGGCGCTTCGACCTCTGAACGGAGAGTTGCAGTTCCCTAAACGCGCCGGGCTTTGGTTGGAGAAGGGTTTCTCTCAAAATTCGGGGCCCCCAAGGTGCTTGGCTTCCTTCTGGTGTCCCTTTAAAACCCAACCCCAAAAATGAGATCTTCCAAAACAAGCACCCAGATCCGGACGCGAGCGCCTGATGGGCTGCGTGGGGTCGTGCTGCGGTGCGGCACTGGGGTTCGGCCGCTTCAGCAGCAGCGCTTGTAGCTCCATGTGCATCAGGAAGCCTCGGATGGGAAAAAAGGTGGGCGTGTCTTTTTTGGGAGGGGCCCCAAATGTGTGGTTGTCCATTCGGCTTCCTTTTAAACCAACCCAAAACAGAGCACCAACTCGTTGGCTTCCTTTGAAACCAACCCAAAAAGGGGGTGCTCCCAACAAAGGACACACCCATGTTTTTCCCGGAGGCAAAAACATAAAGGAATAAGTTTGTACATTCAGATTGGACAATGGCAATCCAGCAAGATTCAAACTTGAGTGTTGAATCAAGGACTAGATTCACCAGGTATCTGAGGGTACCTGCAAACTGGAGATGCGAAGTGTAGCCCCAACAGCAGATGATGAAGACAAGTCCTACCTTGCCATCATTCACACGTCTCCAAGAATTTCAACGTGGGTGACAGCTTTGCACTCTGAGCCTTGTCACAAGTGGGCCCTAAAACAAAATAAGGGTCTTTGCAGATGGCAGTCCCCTTAAATCTGGTGCTTCAGCTGAACCGCCTCTCGCGGCGGACTCTTTAGATCCAGTTTGCAGCATCCTTCCCTCGCATGGAGGGCTTATCACCCGGATTTTGTTCCTGAGAAAGCGAAATGATAAAAGCCGCGCTTTCAGACCTGAACAATTCCCACAGTTGCGAACCCGCTCCCGGTCAGCATGCCGGCCAGCGCAAATATGGATGGCAACGATGTCGATATCCTTCGAGGGAATGGATGTCAAAGCAGAACCTACTTGATGCGGAGGTACAAAGCAACAGCAAAAAGCCCCTGCTTCTCCCAGAAGGAGAAATGGAAAACTCCCTTCGTGAGTATGCATGCGAGAAATTTGATAGAGACTTTCCACACCCTTCGGAAATGAACGAATCAGTCCGATCGTCAGCTCACCTCTTCCCTTTTTTTTTTCGAAGAAGTGTGCCTCCATTTCGAGTGCGCCAAGCAGCGAACCACACGTCCATACTCCCTTCGCCAGAGCTGTTGCGCCGACACGCCCAAATAGTCCTGCACGTGCCTTAGTTCCCATTCCGGCGCCCGAAGGACCCGGAAGTACGGCTGGCCTTTTGGAACCTATGGCTGTGGTGGTCTTTTAACCGTTTGGGGATATCCCATTTTGGGGATTGGGTGAACCACCCATTATAGAACCGGTGGTCTTTTAACCGTTCTGGGATCGATCCCATTTTGGGGATTGGGCTGACCTTGTGAGCCCAAAGCTTCGGCCAAAGATCCGAAGGTTTCTAGCTTAGCTTGAACCCGGGGAGGTCCGGAGCTTGAGAGACAGCCTCGAGTCGACAAAGCGTCCAACCGCAAATGTCCTTGTAGCGTAAAACCAAAACTGGCCTGGGACTAGGTGGTACAGGACTGCTTGGTCCCAAGTTGGACCCTGGATGATACTGTTCACGAAATCCATTGCGCGCCACCTCAGAAACCATGGAAAACGACGGTTGGTTGGCGTTTACAAGGGAATCGAATCATTCCAAGATTCCTTAGGTGGTGCGCAATGGATTCTGTCCATCAGTACTACAAATGCCTGGGATGTTTCAGAGACACAAACACAGATAGTGAGAGACGAAACAAACAACATGCGCATACGGTCCTAGACCCAGACCTGCATAAAATTGATCGAACGTAGAACCGTAAACAACCGCCCAATTGTTTGTATGTTCTTCCTTTTTTTTCCCCGTGCCGTGCTAGATTGCCTTTGGACGCTCACCATGGGGTAGAACAAGCCCACCATGTTTAAGGTCCCGCTGTAAATGTATATATATATATATATATGCACATAAATTCATCTATTTGGTGCAGGTTTTATGCAGGGCACCCTTTGTCCGGTTGAGATACGAGGCAAGGTTGAGGTCAGCTGCAGACTTCAAGTGACCGCCTTCCAGGCGAGAAACAACGCGCAAGACACGTAGCGGGGATAGTTGACTCGCGCGGCAAACCCCATTAAAACTAATTATTGAAGCAGCTTCCTGAAACTTTCCTAGGCTGATTCGTTGGTAAAGGAAGTGCACTTCACGTTAATCATGCTGGGGTTGTTGGTGGGCACCAATGCCGAATCCCCAAAGAAAGTTGCTCGTGGGTGAGATCTAACTATGCTTCTGTGAGACAATGGAATGTTGCCAGGAGCCCAACTCAACCTTTTACACGACATGCTCTGGAGCTGCCACTTCAAAGGTGGCCAAAAGGCTTGGTCCACATTCATTCGCACCCTTTTCAGGAGTTGCCCTGTGGCTTTGGAACGAACAAAGAACGTTCTCCCCCTTTGGTGTTTCATTGGACAAGTCTAAAGAACATTGCCAGTTGGGACCAACCTGCGCCAGCCCTTCACGGCCACTTGCTCGACAAGGGGATCGATCCTCCAAATCAGGCAAAAGAAATGTTTGACCTGCAAGTGAGTGCCCTTGCGGCCTTAGCATCCCAAAGGATGACCAAGGGAAATTGAGGAAAACTCGTTAGAAGACTCTGTTTCTTTCGAAGGCCGCCCAAATGGGTATGGGTCAGAATCAAACCACCAGGGGACCGCAGGTTTTAGTCCATGTTTCCATTTACAAGGGCCAAATTTGGGGTACCTATTTTTGACCCACGCCCACATGTATCCTTGAAGGGACACGGTGTGCGGTGTCCAATTCCATGGGAATTTTCATCAGCCAGCCTGCCAAAAGAGGCGAAGCTTTCATGAAGCTAGGGTCCCTGCGTGCCTGGTGTGTGCAGGAAACGAATGACAGGTTTTAACAAAAATGGTGGTGTTTGATTGAAAAAAACAAGTACCCTCAAAAAAGACACGCCCAAAAAAGCCACGCCGCTTTTACCCCGAAAAGACTACGGCGCTGAAACCAAAACCCAAAGCCCGCGGCGCTCGAAGGAGGACCGCAGCAGGCCCGACTGCTCCGCCAGCTGCTGGAGGGGCAACTCCAAGTCCTCACGGGGTGGTTTTCGGATTTTTGTTTAGCCCTCAGATCCCATGCTCAGAGTTAAACTTAAGGGCTGCCGGTTCCTGTTTCCTGGGCTGCCCTCAGATCCTGCCAAAAGTTTATCTAACTGTTCGTGCCTTAAATTCGGAAACTACCACTAAACCCTCAAAACCTAAAAAGCTAAGGCGATGGCTGGGACTTGATCCCCTGCTAGACTCCTCCGCAAAAGTTAACTCTTTGGAGGCTTAATGGAAAACCGCTTTGTTTGCTGCAAAGTCAAAGTCTAAAGACCCAACCTAATAGCAATAAGGAAAGGGAAACCACGGGAACACCGGTGTTGGGAGGATTCCCGACAAAAAACAAACAAACAAACAAACAAACAAACCCAAGCATGGTCCCAAGGGCAGGAAAGTGCAAGGGCACAACAATCTTCTCTTGTGTTTTGGTCGCTTTTGAAGTTACTGGCAACACCGAAAAAACAATGAAACAAAAATGAATTGCAACAGGAACATCTGGTGAGCAACCCCCATTCCAACTGGATGATGGTGGCGCGTGCCCTTTGCTACCCGTAGATGACGAGACAGCACATATGAACATATACGATTTTTAGTTATCACAAACACGTTACTTTGAACAATCCCCACCCAAGAAATTTGGCTGACTAAACTAAGTCGCAACCACATAGGCACCGAAAGGACAATCCGACTGTGTGCAGGGCCTAAGCCATACTCGTAGCTGGTACGACAGCGAAGAAACTCAATCGAACCAAAAAGGAAACAAGGCAGCGCTGACCCTAACCAAATGCAACCACAGCTACCACACTAAAGACTCCTGTTTGGTCCGGATGACACACCAAGAACTAAGGGCACATCATCTGCAGCTCCAGGTCTCATTAGCCCAGCACTCGGAGCCTCAGGCTTCGGACTGTCGCAGGCCGTTGCAGCTGTTTGTCGAAAGAATCTGTCGTAGGCTGTTGAAGTAGCGTCTGTCTGCCAGCGGGAGGGCCCGTCGGATGTCAGCATCACCCAGCCCAAACCTTTTCTGGTGGGGAAAAACGCAATAAAAGTGCGAATATCCATATGTACGAAGACATATACACGTACATATATATATATATACAGTTGCTTTTTTAACCTATACATTTGCACACGTACATGTAATCATCCCCAGATATGTGCCGGTCAAGAAGCTGTGTATGTGTGTATGTGTGAACCCCTGGCTATTTTCGGCCCAGTCCCCCCACTCCGTCTCCCCCCTCCTGCCGCCCGCTTGTAGAGGGGAACTGCAGCCTCGCCAGAAGCTGCTCGATGCGCGTCGCCAGCTCCCGGCGGAGCCCGTCCAGCAGCACCTACTCTTAAGAGGCACAAATGGACATAGAATTCTACCCCTTGTTTTCCTTTACTCACTGCCTGAGTGGATTCACTCTGTTTTGGAGGTCCCCAGGTTTGGGATTCTTCAACTCGCTTCTCGAATTCCTGGACTTTAAACAAGGCTCCCTAAAAGATCTCCATTTTGCAACCAGTTGAAACATGTGGCTTTTTCAACACCAACATATAGGGAAACCACAATTTACAAGGCAATGTTCAGGTGTATAAGTAAGGATCCGGAAGACCATTTTAGTGGTAAACAACCAGTCAGTATCTCGCAGCATCGAGGCGAAAAGCAACACTCGGCCCCAGGAGTTGACCAAAGTCACCCCCCAAGAGGCGGGCTTACCCTTCCACCAACATGGAAGTGCGCACACTCCGTTCCAAGAGGAAACCTGACTTCCAAACCAAAGGTCCCGTCCATGTTTCGGGCAATACCTCCGATGGTTTAAGAGCTGTAGATGGCAATTGTGCAGCCCCACGAACTTTGCACTGACCGAAAAGGGATGGGTTCCCTATTGAGCTAGCAAGTATCAGTTGAACCTGAGGAAAGGCAAGCCATTCCCCCACGCGCGCGCGTCGCTCCAAGTAGACTGGAGCAAGGACTAAGGAAAGACAGCCGGGAGAACATGGTGGATTTGAGCCAAAGCCCGGCATCAAAATGGTTTAGAACCATGTAAGGAATTGAAAAGGTGGATGCCCACAGCCATGGCAAGGGTTTTTGCTTTTTGTTTTTTTTCTACCCTCCAATTACCCGGGATTTGATTGTGGTTTTCAATTCAGCTGGAAAGGCATCGCTGGTCATAACCTGCAGCTTTCGTCAGCGTGCGGCAAGGCACCTTTGCAGCTTTGCCACAGGGCTTGGTCAGGGATCCATGGAAACAGAGTGGCCCAATAAGAGATGAGTCTTGACAGTCGCGGCAAAACATCGTGAGATGTCAAACTGCCAACGCTTCCTGGCTGAGCGCTACACAATGTCACATGTTCCCTTTGCCTTCTGTCAAGACAAAACCACAATACCCTGGCGTGTTCTCATCCATGGCTTCTTCTTGCAACAACCACGCCGGCGAGAAAAAACCAACAACACACTCAAATGTGTATGAATGCCCTCTGGCAAACATGGCAAGATATGTGCAACCACCAACCATTTGGCAACTTTTACTACAATATCATCTTGGTGCCAAGCATTTATGTTGCCAACGGTGTCCAACCACCAACCATGTATGTTGCCAACCATCAACCATGTCCAACCAAAATCAATCGCAAACTCTATCGTCTTGCCGCCAAATCTAGCCGCCGCTTGATTGGGCTATGAGTTTCAATAGAAAGCTCAAACAAATATTGAATCTCCACAGAATGATCATGTCCACCAAGGGGTCCCTTATTTTGCAAATCTAAAGAAGTAAAGAGAATACGTTTACGTCCAATTATAACAGCCACCTAGAAAATCAAAGATTTTTTCAGATCTTAAGTTCAGCGGAACGGAGGAGGACTATGAGATGTACGCTTCGGCTGTGGAAAAATATGTCAAAAAGCAAGATGTCCTATATAGGACTGAGCTCTGCAAGAAAGCAAAGGATGGGCTCTTCATTCCAATTCTCTTCTACCAGGTATTTTTCAGATAAAACTCACCCCCAACTCCGGGAACATCGCCTCGCGGGGCTCGACTCGGATCACCCCCAGCACTGCCACGTCGGTTTCCCGGATGCCGCGCATGAGCAGCGCGATGCCTTTCGCTGGAAATTTGGTGGTTCAAAGAGAAGACTCCTTTCCATAATCTTAGAACTGCAACGTCATGGTTCGGCGCTTCGCTGGTTGGGAACCTGAGTATCGGATGAATAATTGATTATTATCGGATGATTCGAATTGGTTTAGCATTGATTCCATTAAAAAAAAAGGTTATTATTGACAAAGTGCATTCATTACTTTTTAGCGTTCCAGGTTAGTAGAAGCCCTTCGGATGACCCAGGAAGTGCCACCAGCAGAAGCCGAAGCCATTTTGGGGTTCCGAATCCCTCTTGACGCACACCCACTATGTTCCAGTCATGATCAAGACCCCGTATCTGAGTCTTCCCAAAATCCATGGGCGGAGGGGATCCCACAGAGCAGGTTCGAGGTTGCAACTGGTCTTATTGGAAGGCCTTGATGCTGGCAATCTGAGCTCAGCGATCCTCAGGACACGGGAAGACTTGGGGGTTGATCAAAAGGTCCTTTCATTTACCTGGGATGACCATTGGCTGGGAAACCGCTAAGAGTTCGCCCTGGTCAAAACTGGGCCGAAGGGAATCTTGATCAACTCCTTCAGGACAATGGCTCCGGACTGACTTTTGCGGCTGCAAATGTTTTCCCAAGATGTGCCTCTCGAAATTGCAGAAACCACACTCCCTCAGGTTGACACAATGGAAGCTCCTCCTAGTTGGCCTCCGTAAGTGGGCGACGGCGTCTTCCATTTCGGGGTCGCTTCGGATCAAATCTCCTGAGCCCTTTGGCTTGGCAGGCCTTCCGTGGCCCAGAGGACAGCGGTCAAGGAGTCAAGCTGGCCGACGTCCCCGACCCCCCGGCAATGCCTATGTCTAGAGACCTATTTGTATGTAATATACATAGATATGGTATTTACAGTGATTTTAGGCCTGAGGTAGATCTTGGGGGGGGGGGGGTGACCATATTCGTATATATAGATATAGATATACAGTATATGAATGTTACATATGTATACATCAAGCTTGCCTACGTCCTCCCCCCCCTCATCCCTAAGACAGCCTCGAAGCTCAGCAGTCCAGGTCAGAGACTTGAGATAGGCCGATTGAGCAAGTCCCAAGACTCGTCAATATGGCCATGGGTCAAAAGCCAAACCGGTTAGCCCCCAGTGAACATCCCAATCCAACCACTAAAACAGGTCCTAAAATGGGTGGTGCACCCACCCCAACATGGGATCCCAGTGGTTTTGACCCGCAGCTATATGTTGAGTCTGGATCTGCTGCAGAACTGACCTACAGGCCAGGCACCCAGAATGCCAGTCGCGGATTCTTTGATACCCTCGCCTTACACGGCAATTCCCTTTTCAGGACATCTCTCTAGGGGTTGATTCCCCATTCTTTTCAACCATCGTTCTTTTCAACAACCGGTCGTTGTCACTGGGTTTCTTGAGGTTTTCTAGAAGAAAAATACGCTGGAAACAATGGGGAAGGCACCCCTAGAATCTCGAGCGCTTCTCCCCAAGGTGCGCTGAGTGATCTGCGCCCTCTCCTGCCGCGGCTTTTCAGTCCTGGCTCCGCAGTCAACTCGGACGCCCGGTTCAACAAAAAAGAAAGTCCTGGTGGATAGTCTTCACACCCCACACCACACCCCACACCCCACAGCCTGCCTCACACCCCACACCCCACACCCCACCACACCCCGGCCCCCCTCTCCTCACCCCACCCACCCCACCCACCCCACCCACCCCACCCACCCCACCCACCCCACCCACCCCACCCACCCCGACCCCGACCGCCGCCCTCCGCTCCTCTGCGCATAGGTTTGGAGCTCCGCGAAGCTCACCCGGCTCCCCAGGCCCGGCGCCGAGAGCTCCGAGAGTTGGCCCAGCAGACGGAAGACCAGCCGCGGGATGTCCTGCTCCGCCCGATCCGGCCGACGAATCCGTCCGATTGATGCGCGCGCTTTGACGGACGAGTCCGACGAGGAGGAGACGAGGCCGGGACCGGGGCCACCCCCCCCACCCAAAGACTGAGGCCCCGGCGGCGTATTTGTGGGTCTCTCTCGAACTTACACCCCGCCAAAAAAAAAATCGGGGGGTGCGACACATTGGGGGAAACGCTCGAAAAGAAGAGAAGGAAACCCTTGGTTTCCCAAGAAGAGCCCCAAAAAGGGCAAGACGTAGTCTTCCCCAAAGTCTGTGCAGTGCCATTTGTTGGTGGGCAAGGGAAAATGACTGCCAGTGTCTGACTTGACCCCTTAAGGAAAGTCATGGGTCCGCATGAAGGCCGGGCAGAGGGTGACAAGGGAAGGAAGAAAGGGGGGCTGACAAACGACGCTGGATCCCGATGAAGGTTCAAGTCCTACGTGGTAGATTGACTACTGATATTTCACATGAATCCTACTCCATTGTGATGGATGCACAGCCAGCTCGAAACAGACCATTTCTGACTGAGAGGGAGCGAGAGTGGGGGAGCCGATCATGCTGAGTTCTCAAATGAGGCCCACGCCGGAAAATCGAGCTCGCTTTTTCAGGGAGGAAGCCATGGCGCCCGAGATTGGTTACATGGCGTAAAGCCAGGAAGCCGTTCAGGAGTGATCCAGCCTGGGTTCCATCTTCTCGCCACTCGCCCATCCGCCCCTCACTTCTCTGGCCACTAGGCCCCATGGAACTTAGGTATCGACAAATGGGTGGGGCTTTTGTTGAGGAAACGGGGCTCCAATTCCTTTTAAACAACCCCACAACCACTCATGATTGCCGCCCCTCGGTCGTCACTGATGGCAAGATCCCAAACGAATTGTGGAACACATTCCAGTTTGGAATGCTTCTTTGGCCGCGGTAAACACCTCTCTCTCAAAATGCGGAATGCTCCACCTCTGTTTGGATGGGGTTGAAAGGAAACAACCTGCGACCCAAATTGTGGGTCCAAAAAAAACCTCGAGTCTTGAGACCCGCACGAAACTGGGACCCAAAACATCCTGCAGCACCGAGCGCATGAACTCCGTGAGGCTGGCCGAGTAGTACCCCGAGACCAGGGAGGCATGGGCCGCGTTGCCGGCCTGGCGGATGCGCCGCAAAGGTACCTGAGCGCCGGGTCGACGTGGATTTTTGGGTAGGTAGGTAGGTAGGTGGGTAGGTAGGTAGGTAGGTAGGTGGCAAGGTGGGTAGGTGGGTAGGTAGGTAGGTAGGTGGCAAGGTGGGTAGGTGGGTAGGCAGGCAGGTAAGTAGGTAGGTGGGTAGGTAGGTAGGTAGGTAGGGAAGTAGAGGGGTAGGTAGGGAAGTAGAGGGGTAGCCCTTTTTGGTGTGGCAAGACACTGGGTCCAGTTTGTCTCCTACGGCGACCACCTGGCTCCTTTGATCAAGGCTCTTGTTCTGGCACTTTGCGCCACGGCAGTTGCTCAACGGCAAATCCGAGCTTCCGGGTACCTTCGGAGGGTTTAAGTCACATCACCTGGGACTGGTCACATCTCCCAATGGCACAGCACAGAGAAAAGAAGTCACAGCAGCCGGTTTTAAGTCACATCACGTGTGTGTTGAATCCCCATGACACAGCGCTGGCAAGAGCGTGCTTTGCAAAAGCCAGAAACTACCCGAAACACTGCGCGCTTCCCGCCAGTCAATGCGACTTAAAGCGACCTGTGGCATCTGCAGTTGTGCGTAACAGCTGACCATTGCAGGTATGGTGCTGCATTGCATGTGGCAGCTAGGCCGTATGGCATATTCCTCACAGAATATCGGTCAATCCACTTGCAGCTGCAAAAAACATATGTTCAGCAGCAGTCCACCAGGATGTGTGTCAAGATTGCGGGGAAAACAATCCATGTTATGTGATCTTGATTGGACCGGACTTGAGCTAGCAACCAGCAACTCCTGCAAATTCTGGGGATTAGCAACTTCTACATGTCCTAAAGAAGCTGCTCCTTCTGTTTCCCTTTTGAAACAAGGGTGCGTCCGAAGTCGTGGGCCCGCCTCCAGGATCGACGCAAGCTTCAGGAAGAGCGCGCGCAGGCCCTTGACGCTGTCCGGGGAACTGGCCAACAAGTTGCCCATGGCCTCCTGAGACTTTCGCGCGCGGTGGAAGATCCCTCTGTTCGGTCCAAAATCTGAGGCGTGTCTCAAGCATTGCGACTGGTGGTTGAACCTCTTCGTCCAAAAACATCTGAACCCCTTGAAAACACATGCCAAGAATCGCCTTGCAATCAGAGTCCGGCGTCGAAACCGCAGAAGGCTCTGGCTGGGACCGCCCTAAATCTGCATCGGGAGGGTGCTGGACAAAATGAAGGCGGAAAACTCTTGCCGGTCGAGTGCCCATTTACCCCGGAAGAAATTCGAGGGACAAATCGCGTTAATTGAAAACCGCATCACATGCGAAAAGGAGCATCTTACTTGCAACCATCACTTTTGCGGGTTATGACCTGAGTTGCTCCGTTCAAGGTGCCAGTGTATGCTGGGGGGGGGGCAGGTCCATTCAATCTTTTGGCTAGGGTGGTCGGTGATGCTGTTTCAGCGAAACAGCATGCCTGTCAAGAAATACCAGACTACCTATCTTCAGATATGCGCCAAGTCATGGTGAGTCCTTCCAATCCCACAAACGGAAGCTGATAAAAACCTAAACCGCGATTCACTCAAGTCCCCTGAATGTGTGTGTTGTTTAATGCCCGGTAGTGATAGATGTCCTTCAAAACCAAAAAGCATAAGCACATACACTCTTCCGTGAATGGAAGTCAACCAAGGGACCGATCCCAAGCTCTCAGCCACCTCGACTCGGCGTCCTTGTAGCTGCCCAGAGCGCGCCAGGCGTAGGAGAGGTCTGCCACCGTCTCGATGGTTTGGAGCACCTGGTCGAATCGCCCTGGTCGAATGGGCTGCGCGGGGAGGGATCGGCTTCCGGAGCCCGATGCCGCAAAGCTCGTCTCGGCCGTTTTCCGAGGCTTTTCACTGGAGAGGTTAGAATAAGGGTGCCAACTTCTTCTTCGGTTTTGTCGACTTTAGTCGGGGAACCCTCCCCCCCAAAAAAGGGGTAAAAGGGACGCTACTGGGGGCCCTAGTTTCTTGGCGGTGCCATCTTGCGAAATGGATGCACCAGAAGAAACCTTTATCTTCAGGGCGCAACATCGAAGCATCAAAAGTGTCTTACGCATGCATTCTTGCAATTTAAAGTCCTCCTCAGCAACGAGGGACAGAGAAAGCTCCGGGCGCCGCGCAGATTCGCCCAGCTGAGGCTTTCGAGCGTTTCGCAAGGCAGTAGAGACGGGTGGCACCAAATGCCAGGTCGTGGCCATGCAGCCGCCCCTTCCGAAAAACAATGACACATGGAGTGTCACTGAACCCTTGTGCCGGGAGTCCCTGGTTCCAAAGAGAAACCGAGAGGAAACTCACTGCTTTGTGGGGGTCCCTCTTGAGAAACACCCTTCAAAAACGGACTGCCAGCTCCTTTGTCTTTCAAACAGGCGGGAACACATGTGCAGCAGCCTGGATGTTCCTACAAGCAGCAACAAATTCGGCCCACTTCCAAAGAAAACTCGTGAGGGCGGACTTCATGTTTTGATCACTCCGAACAGAAAAGCCCCGGCTCGGCGACACGCCGCCGCGCCGAGGGTTCTTTCGCCCCTGCTTTGGGGCAGACCGCTTCGATGCCTTTGTTTTTACCCATCACGTAGTCTTCAAGGGGCAACCCTGAGATGGGGTCGTCTCAAAATAGGGCACCTCGAAAAATGGTTGGCTTCCTTTTGGCTTCCTGTGAAAGCCAACCGAAAGTGGATACCCTCCAAAAAGGGACGCACCCACATCAACCCGCCTCCGCGTTGAGGTTTGCAGTGCGGAGCATGCGCTGCAGCCGCTGCCGGGCGTCGCTGAGGAAGTGGAGGATCTGCCTACAGACGTGCTGCCCCCTCGGAAATCCAGTCTGTCAATATCCGCCTGAAACCAAATTTGACAATCCAAGATCATTCCAAGATCCAGGCAGCAGGCATGCGCGAGTGCGGCGCGTGGGGAAACTGCTGCCAAGCTGCGGTTGCTGCGAGATCTCATGGAAGTGCGCTACCTCATCCTTACAGCACGGGCTTCCGCATCTCTCCCCTTAAACCCTAGGCCTTTAGAGCTCCATTTGCCATTGGACCGAGTCTACGTCCAACGTAGGGATTGGTGGCCTCCATGCTTCAAGACCTCAAAATGATAATCTACTACCTGGTTTCCCTGAAGGGGCAAAACTGGACAACCAAAACCCGAGAAGCCTGCAACACAAGGCCTGAAGACTCAAATTTCAGTTTTGACACATCTGCGCGACACTTCGGGATCTCATTGCCAGGCGCGGTACTTTTGCTAATTCCTTGGGACAAGTTTCGTTGGGTAGAGAAACCGCGAAGCTACACGGCTGTCCTTTGGTCGTCTTTCAACACCCTAAGAAGGTCGCCGAGCCTCCAAAGGCAAACCATGGAAATTGCATCCATTCACACCTCCGGCAAAGTTCATCAGGTTCCGTCCAACCCACCAAACTCTGGTTTGAGCAAATTGAGCGACATCCGCCATGTCCATTCCGCGTTTTTCACTGAACCTCCTGTACTAAATGGCATATAACCCAAAACCCCTACCTGAAAATGTCTTTGACCTCCGCGGTCGTTTAAGAAGCGTGGCTCAAATGGAGGGACCCACCGCAAAAGTTGCTGTTTTGCAACGAGAAACTGCGGGGCTGGGGGAATTCTCCCCACGTTTGAGCCACGGCCATTGGCTTGTGCCAAGCCAGTTCTGGCTCTGCATGGGTAGGGTATGGGCATGTGCCACAATGGGTTGACCACGAAAATGGGGAGTCTCGGTTTTTCCATTTTTTTTCCTCGGGGGTTGCCTTGAAACCGAGGTGAAATTGGTACGCTGAAAGAAAAAACACACAGACTAAAGGTACCGTAAGGGCAGGGTATTACTGTAAACCAAATTACGTGATCATAGGCTCAAAAATAAATAGGTACCTAAAATGGAGCCCTGCTACTTGGAAAAGTAGACTGAAGCCTGCGGTCCATAAATTGCGAGCCACCCATGTGGGCATTGATCAATATTCTCTTCAACCCCCAAATGACCATGGGTAGCTTATCCCTTTTAGTGGTTGAAAAAAAACATATTGTTAGATATCTGTTTAGCGGTTTTCAATGGTCATCCATCCTGTTTTACAGACCTTCTGATCAACCCCAAGGTTTGTTTAGTCCCCACTGAGAGAAGGGACGCGTCTGCACCTCACTGCGTTCGTCCCCACCTTTTGGACCAGATCCGGTCACCCTCCGACTCTCCGACTCTCCGGGCCGACCCTCGCCCTGCTAAATCGGTGGCTCAAGGCGCCAGGGCCTTGTCCACCTGCGCCACTTTGCGGCCCAGGGCCAACAGCTCCTTCGAAGGAGCGGCGGATGCGAGCAGGCCCACCCACGCCGAAAACAGCAGACGGAGGAGCCTTAGAATTCCGACAAATGGCCGGGGGGGGGGGGCTCACTGGAAATGGAGTTCATAGGTGTCCTTTTGGAAAATAGATGGCCCTGGTAGTTGGTTGAACCACCAGGTAAACCAGGGCCCTCTATTTTTCAACCAAATCAACCAAAAAGGACGCCTATGGGAGTTGTGGTTTCCGGAAGCCAAACGGTGGAGCCAAAGCCACTTCAGGGCACCGTCAGCCGTCCTCCTCGCTGCCGCAGCTCAGCTCCTCGATGCGCTGCTGCAGCGATCGGAAGAACTCCTCCAGCTCCTGCCGTGAGCTTCACGGGGTCTTGGGAGGGGGAAGCCCAACTAAGCCCTCAATGGGGGGGGGGGGAGTAAGCCCTTAACAAGGCCTTAGTCAGGGCTTATTTCGTGTTTTTTTTGGTGCAGTTTTTTTTGTGCCAGGTGTCAAGACACACCCAAATGGGGCCAGAACAAGTGAACCTAGGTGTCATTCTGAAGAAGCTAGATGGATTCCACTGACTTCCGCTGGGTGCCTTTTGAACAACAGAGATGGATCCCACATTCCGGAAAAGACTCGATGGATTCCATTGGAACTGACGAAACTGAAGCCAGTGCTGAAGTAAGGCCAAACAAAGGCGATCTTGGTTCCAGAGGTTTGGCGAGTTGGTTCAAAGTCAGAAAGGACTTAGGCGCTTTGACTCTTGGCTTTTGGCCAGTTGGCCAGTTGGTCATGGTTGTCTCCTCTGCCTTTCTTCTGTCTTGGCATTTCTTTGGCCATGGTTCACCGTCATGGCTTCGCCCTGCAAATGTCCCAAACGGACTGCGAGCTCTGCTGCTAGTCGGAAGGATACTTCAGCTACGGATTTTGGGCGTTCCACCTGCCTCAGAATGCCCATTAAAAACCGCGCCTTCAAGGCTTGCAAAGAGGAGTCCACAGGAAGATGCAAGAAAGACAGTGGTCTTGGAGCATGTCTAAACCGAGTGGGTCGCCCGTCTCTGGCAAGTGGCACTTCCTACGGAACTCCCTTCGAGCCCAAACCCTGATCCCAGCGCGTGGCGTTGGAAAAAGCGCATCTGATTCCCTGACCAGGCTGTGATGCCGAATGGGTGTGTCTTGTTTTGCGGACCCCCCCAAACAAAAATATAACAACAAGAAGTAAATCGGGGGGGGGGTCCCCCAACAAGAGAACCCAAGTTGCAACTAGTTTCCAGTGCCCAGGATACGGTTCCCACCTCGTTGCGGACATTGCGGCGAAGCGCATGTTGCCCGGAGAAGAAGACGGCGAGATCATCCATAGATTGAGCCGCCTTGGGTTCTCAGCCAATCCCCAAATCTACGCAACTTGGGGCATACCTTGCACCCTGTGGTCAACCACTATGGCTCTTCTCCCTGGTTGAGCGTCCTGTGCAGGGTTCCACTTTTTGACTACCCCAAGGTACACTTAAACCAGGGGGTGGTTGATGTCCCCAAACGGGAACGCCTGGGTTTAAGCCGACTTTGAGGAACCCTGGTCCTGTGACTTGTTGTTTAGAACCCCCGCCTCATCTTTCAGCTGCTGCCAACTCGCATCCCGGTTGGCCACCAGCGGCCCCAAGATGCCTGTGCGATTTGCAGCGGGCTCGTGGGGTCTTTGGCCCCAAGCAAATCACACGTGTGATCTGGGGAAGGAGCAAGCAAGCAAGCAAGCAAGCAAGCAAGCAAGCAAGCAAGCAAGCAAGCAAGGAAAGAAAGAAAGAAAGAAAGAAAGAAAGAAAGAAAGAAAGAAAGAAAGAAACAGACAGGAAAGCAAGCGGGCAGGCCAGGAACAATGGTCAAAGGGAAGTACGTACTAGCAGGGGCTGCAGGCAGCAAAAAGACTCTTCTCGAGGAGGACATGCTCTTCATGATTTCTCAGTCCTACAGCACACACAAGAAAGGTATCTGCAAGTACCGAGCCAGGCCAGCAGCAACCAAAGGCCGGCATCCCCAACATCATCGTCTGCGTGGCTTGCTCGGTAATTCTGTGTCCGGAATAAGCTGTAGAAGCAAGTCGTTGCATCGTTGACGCCAGCCAACGCTCTGAAGTGGGCTCGTCATTTTGGAGGGTACACTTTTGGGCTTGTTTTTTGGAAGCCCAAAAAGAAAACCGCACTTTTTAGGAGGGTCCCCGATCTTTGACGAGCAGTCAACCACTCGCATACCGAACTCCTCCCCCAAAACCGCATGCAGCACCCGCACGAGCCCCCGCCTTTCACCTTGTCCTCGAGCAGAGCGGTGTCAACGAGAGTTCCCAACAGCTGCTCCTTCCTCGGCATCCGATGCCGAGGCCGATTGTACACCTCCAAACTAAAATGCAAATCCATTTGGCCAAGCGGGAAAAAGGCTTCCCAGAATTGAGCCAGATTTAGTGATAAACTAATTCAGCTTGGGGGATTATATACCAGGTGGGCACAATTCTATTTTGTTCCATGGGTTCATACGTTCGGCCTTTCACTCCTGCCTTTTGCAGGCTAAAGACACCCAGCCCCCTTGCCATCCATAAAGTATGACATTTGGAGAACCCAAGAGAGGGTTCAAAAGGTGGGCGCACATATACGAGTGAGGGCGCAGAGATGCGGGTCGCGGTCAAAAGCCGCGTTTCGAGAGGTCGAATACAAAACAGGTCCGTGGGTGACCTGCCAACAACCTAATCTACCAGCGACCTACCACCTGCATCCGGTTGCAGCTTGGTATCATCCTAGAAGAGATGTTGCACACCGCCTGCAGCTTCGGGTCGGAGGTGCTTGGCTGCAAAAGCAGCCACCGGATGCCAGTATTGGCCTGCGGGTCTCCGGCATGCTGTGAGGTTGATGTTGACAAGGGTAGTTTAAGATTTGACAGAGGCATGATTGAACTGCACGTTTAGTGATGCTTGTCGTTGGTTCACACTTTGCCCGCATGGGTTGAATGCTGAATTCTTCAAAATAGCTGTTCTAACGAGCTGAAATCCGAAGTCGTTGATACTTGCGTCAGTGCAGGTTTCGGTCGGTATTAGTATTGACATTCGCCAAACAGACATCCGAAAGCAAACCCCAACGAAGGCCCGAGTCCAGGAGGTGGTTTTGGTCCATTGGACGCCCGAACAACACTAAAAGCCAAATGGGAGCTGTTCATGACCTGAAATGAGTGGAAACCACTGGCAAATGGAGCATAAAACCCATGTAAACCTATGGAACCCGTGTATTTCTAACCAAACTCACCACTCAAAAGGGAACCCATGGTCCAGGGCTCAAGCTGTTCTAAGCCAATCCCCCCAAAAAAAAACTTCTGCTCCTGCCGCAGCAAGCTCAGCAGCTGCGAGGACTTCCCCGCGACGAACTCCTCACCAAGTCGAAAGAGCGAAAGAGCGAAAGAGCGAAAGCGAGACGTGGTGTCCAACTTGGGCATTTTGCGCTAGGGAGGGTTCGTTGGTGTTTATTTTTATTTGTTGTTGTTGTTGTTGTTTGTTTTTTTTGGGGGGGCGTCCCCCCCCCTTTCAAAGAAAAAACACGTGTTTCCCAAAACAGGGTTCCCCGCCAAAGAAAAGGCTTATCTTAGGAGGTTTCCTTTGGGGGTGTCCAAAGGGGTTCCCAAATAAAACATGGAGCTGATGCAACCCCCAAAAATAAAGCCATGTTTCTCAAAAAACGGCCTCAAAAAAACACAGAATGAAATGAACATGGACTGATTTCGGTGTGTTTAAGTCCCGGGAAGCATAAGGACCACTCCCAAATCCGGGCACTGCGGTTTTTTCCGGAGCGAAACCAAGGGCCTCCGGTTTGCCCGTTGTCCTGGTTTGGTGCCTTGCTGGTTTGGGATTGCGTTCCATTTACCCTCCACAAGAAACAAGGGCTCAAATCCCACCACCAATCCAAGCCATCGAGGATTACCTGACATGCTAAGGGGGGGAGGAAACATCGATTGAAAAATGTCTTCAGAGGCACATTCTATTCAACTCAGCGCTGTGGTAGATCTGAATGCCTTCAGGTTTCCTGTGCCTAGTGATCAGGAAAGGGGTACCACGAATTACTCCCTTCCGAAAACTGTGAAGAGGTTATTGGATCAACCATGTCCACCCAAGCCGGCAAGCCGGCAAGCGAGATAGTGCGAGAATGCCTCGTGATACGCGGCCTCTTTGCAAGTGATTGCTTTGTGGCTGACAAGTGCGTTTTGTGTCTTAGGGATACAGCCATCGCCCGCGCATGTTTTTGTCCGCGGCAATGTCCCATCTCTATGTTAAAACCCGACCACACTGGGATCCTTGTTGGGCACACATCTTAGGTCAACCCCAATACCAAGCCAGGATGAGAACCTCTTTTCTTCAAATTTGGAAGCTAAGAGCTCACCCAAGGAACCTCTGCCCCCCTCCCCCCACCAAAAAAAACTGAAGAAGCAAAAAGAAGAACATATCTTTACAACCCTTGGCATGATAGCAACAAACTGTGTTTCTTTGCAGTCCCCTGCAGAAAATGAACAAAACCAAGAAAACAACTAACAAACATGCAACCAACAGTGAAGATCCCCGGAAAAAAAGAGGTCTACACACGCAAACCACGGTAAAGATACCAAAAATGGTGTGGTTCCTCATTATTAATATTAATAGCTTTGGGACCCACCACAAACCAGTGTCATCTCTATGGAAACCTTTAAACCTCTTTATATATATGTATGTATATATTATTTTTGTTAAAAAAAAAAAAAGGCGCCACGGGCTCCTCCGTGAGGGTCCCCTCCACCAGAAGCTCTGCGAGCCTCTGTCGGGTCTGGGCCAGACGCTCCTGGAGCAAAAACAATATCTCGCGGGACTTGGGTGGGGCCTTAGCGTTTCCCGAGAAATGCGGGGCCCAGGTTGAGAAACACCCAAATAGGGGCTGATCAAAGAATTTATATTCCGCGGAGGTTTTTCAGGCTTGAGTGGACATCGTTGATAGAAGAACCTCTTTCACACTGGTTTTGGAGGCCACTTTGTGCTGAGCCACCCAAAGGGACGCTGATCACAGAGATGTGTCTCCAAATTAGAAAGCTTGACGCCCCAAACTACCGGGCTTGCTTTTGGTTGCCGTGTCAAGCCACTTTTGCTAGCTACCCCCCCCCTTTTCGGGCCACGGTGACACATATTGGCCGTTGGGAAGTCACGTTGATGTCTTTTTGGTGTGGGTCCAACGGAGAATAGCTGGTTCAACCAAAAGTTAAAGTCCCAAAATCAAACCAGATGGCCATATAGAAGGGGCCATATTGAGAAACACCCAAATGGAGCTTGATCAAAGATGATATGTCCCACTAAGTGGGAAAAGTTACCCATGGTCATTTGGGGGCCAGGAATATTGATCAACCCCCCAAAAGAATACTTCTAATTTGCTGGCTTGCAGGGATGTGCACAATTGGTTGTGAACATCTGCGCTCTGTGCTACCTTTCTACACTTTACAAAAAATGTGCCACAATCAGCCTGGAGAAGAGCCTTCTTAAAAGCCTCCTTATGAATTGCCCAGCTGGGGTAGCTTTGCCTGAAAGGTTGACATGCCAATCTTGGCCTCTCCAACACCTACACCGTTCCTACACCCCTATTCCCTCACAAGGAAAAGAGTAGAAGTTCACTCTGCAATCCCTCCTTATTGCGAGTAAAACAAAGTCACCCAAGCGGGGTACCGTGCAGCCCATAGAAATGACCCGCACTTCATCGAAGGATGACCCTCCTGCATCCCACGATAGATCGCGGAGACCCCTCGCACCATTTCAAGCGACGTGGATGTGTTGAACCCCCAAACTGCCATGTTTTCTTTTGGTGACCAAACCCTAACGAAGGGGCGAAGGGTCCCGGAGGGTCCCGCAGGGTTGGGCCTATCGTGCAAAGACATCTGGCCTGCAGGTCCCAAGGTCCTGTTTTGCCTGGTGGGGATGACATTTTGCCCATGTTGCCTGTGGGTTGCAACAAGTCCAAAACCTGAACCTAGGCATCCCCACGTCCTGCAATGGCACATGGCGAGCTCGTTCCGAATCGTAGGGAAACAAGGAAACTGGTCCGCTTTGAGAAACACGTCGATTGGTTTTTTCTTTCCAGCAGCCACGTGAAAACCAAAAGCAAAGCCGTTACTGTCTCGGAAACAAGCTGAAATAAATAAGCCATTTGGGTCATTTGGGCCTTTGCGAACTGCCCTGACTCGGAAAAAAAAAAAAAAAAAAAAAAAAAAGAAATGTCCATGTCAACCAGGTCTCATGTTGAGAAATATTTGAACCCAACAAAAATCCTCTCACGTAACGTGAGAGTCCAAGGAACTGTGGCTCAATCTTGCAAGGCCATGTTGCAGTTCTTGCAGAGTGATGATTCTGCCAGTACTACGAGCCACAAATTGGGCCATATCCATCTTTCCTTGGATGAGTCGAAAACCTGGGACCCTCCCAAATGCTGTGCTCTAAGACCTAGGTCCTCCAGTGAGGTTTTTCAATAAGGGTACCCGATTTGTTTCTGTAGTAGGGGAACCCTCCCAACCAAAAAAGTTACGGTGAGAAAGGGCACTGGTGGAACTAGCTAGGCTTGGGTTCTCCTTTCGTTGACCTTTGCCAGTCGCTACTTCTCCCAGTGAGAGCCCGACGAAGGGGTGAAATCCGATCGTTGGGTCTCCAGGTGCTGCTCTTGCAGCTGCCGCACTGTGCCAGCGGTGATGGCGTTCTGCAGCGCCTGCCTCGCTGCGGGGTACGGCGCCCACCTGAGGAGTGCGGGGAGGGGGGGGGGCGGCATTGGGCCGGCGAGGGCGCAACACAAAGCAAAAAACAACGACACGGCAACCAAAAAAACATGGAAAACAAGAAACATACCACACAAAAGGGACAGAAAACAAGCAGGCAGGCAGGCAGGCAGGCAGACAGACAGACAGACAGACAAACAGGCTGGCAGGCAGACAAACAGGCAGGCAGACAGGAAGGCGAGCAACTGAGCAAACAAGCAAGAACACAAGCAAAGAAATGTAGACGAGCTGTGCCAATGTAACTCTTTGGCTTGGCTCACAGAGCTGCTTGGTCGTTAGGGTGCCTAGCATGGGCAATCTGTTGATTGCTTAATTGGGGTCGGTTGCTCGCATGTGTGATTGATACTGATCTTGCAATATGATTGAGCAAGCGCTTGCCTTTAGGCATGAACTCCGTATGGTGGCATGGACACTCCAACAGATTGGGCCCAACCAACTGAGCAACAAACATCAGGCTGTTCGTTTCTAGCGACAGGGAGTCCATGTCGTACATTGATCAACATTCTGAGTTTGGCCCAAAGCGACGGGCCGCTTCCAACATCCGCCCCCCCCTCTGATAGAAGAGCCGCCAGCTGAGCAAGTCCGCAGTGTAGCCTAGGGCGTAAGCCACCACCCAGCTGTCACCGAAGTGGCGGTCCACAATCTCCTGAGATCTGCAAGGGGTGCCCGATCTGCGGCAAAGGGGTGAAAAGGCCCACTCGCGCCCCAATCAAGTGGAAACATCTGTTCCCTTGACAACGGTCGTGAGTGCCAATGAACATGCTTATAGAATCATGTCCGCCTGCATGCACGTGGCTGTCGTGAACATGCTCAAAGGCTGGGTGTGACGGCACCTCGTAAGTACCTGCACGTCATTACGGAAATCCTCCGCCAGGCCCCTGAACGCCTTGATGGCCACCCCGCACCGCGGTGGGCCCAAGGCATCCTCGCTACACGGTGTGCGAAGCCACCGCTTCCCAAGACTCGCGCCCAGTCGTCGGCCTGTGCCAAGCGTTGAAGTTCTGAAGGCGGGCGCCTCAAGAGATGACCGCGCCTCCTACGAAAACGCCACGCCAGACTTTGACCCCGGAACCTGCTGATGGACTGCGCCGCCGCCAGCGCCTTAGGTTGAGCTCCGGAGGCATCGGATCATCCCGCAGAACTGGCAGCCGCACAGTTCCGACTTCCATCGTCTATGCGGTCTACGCGGTCTACGGCAACCGCGTGGGCAACCGGTTGAAATCTGACAAATCCCGGCCGGACCGCTGAAACCCTCGCTGCCAAGTTGGATTCCAGGCTGATCGGATCCGTGGCTGAGTCCCTTGGCCTATGCGCACAGTGCGCCAAGCTCTGGATGATTGGCTCAGATCGGAAAGCACACTTGCGCTCCAGATAAAATCGGCTTCAAATTCATCTGAGCTGGAACAGCTTACGACAACAGCTGCGCGGCCTGAGAATCTTCACGTGACCACACCGTCACGTTGGTATGTTCACCACCGGAGGGCCGGGAACCATCAGGTGAGAAGTCACACGCAAATCATATGGATTCCCAAAGCCACATCTTCTCAAGCCCCAGAGCTTTGTTTCCCCTCGTTTCCTCTCTTGTTCTTGATATGCGTATCAAACTAGGGGTGGCCCAAAAAATCAGCCGTCTTCCTTTTGGATTCCCTCTAAAACCATCCTGAAAAGTGTATCCTCCAAAAACACGCAACCCCATACGGTCCACGGCCAAAAGTAGTTGTTAAACAAAACTTGGGAAAATGGGTGAGTCTGGGTTTTTGGTGGGGAACAAAAAGAAAGCTCGTCGTCTCGTCTTCCCAAATACAGCATAGACCTGTATTGTTGACCGAAAATGTGGATGTGTCTCCAAATTCTTTAGTTTTCCTTAAGGACCCCCCAACAAAATCCTTGTGTCACATGGCCAGTTTCCCTTTCGGATTCCCAAGAACCCCCCAAAAAGGCGGAGAACGGGTCCCTCCATGAATCGACAGCTTCCCCGCTTCCCCTCCCCCCGACTCCGACGAATCCGAAGCCAGGCCAAGGCGCGCGCATGGCCACGAAGTCGGCCTCCAGGCTGCGAGGCTCGAAGAACAGCACCACGTACCTCGAGATCAGAGGCTCGCTCGAGCCCCCCCGGAGGCTCCATTTGGCTGTGGCTCAAAAAACCGGAATTCCACAGTGGGTGGCTCAAAATTAAAGAGCTGGGGTTGCGCAGGTAATTATTGTTCCTTTGTTTTCCATCCGAGGGGCAAAAATCCAACAGGGTTTCCACTTTTTGTGGGTTTGTGGGGTTCGCCCCCAAAGAAAAGAAGTTTCCACACAAAAGTTGTGTTCTTGGGGGTGTTGCTTGGTCCCTCCGCTTCCCGCGTACCGGCTGCTAGACCCAACTGACTCAAGAAGTAGCCCGAGCTGAGTTGCATGCAGACGCGATTGAGGGGTCTCGCACACTCCCCTCCCTCCCTCTTCCTTCTTACACAAAACTTCGCTCAGCCCGGGACCGGATTTGCCGCCCCCGCGCGCCCCGTTGCAAGGTTCCCTGCATTTTGAACATCGCCCCAAAACGAAAGTCTTCCCAAAAGGTGAGATCTTGAACCACGAAGAGGGGAATTGTAGGTATGAATGGGACCTTCTGCTGGACACCATTCACATGGGATTCGATGTCCGCGTTCGACGGAAACTCCTGCTTGGTTCATAGGTGCCCGTTCGGACGAATCGACACGTAAATGTATGGAGTCCCTTAAGGAATCCTAGGGCACCCCAAGGAACCCTAGTGCTCTCAACTATCTCCCTTGCACCTACACTTTGATGGGATTCCATACTATAGGGTTGGAACCATACTGAAGCCTTTGGATTCCACCTTCACAAAAAAAAGCAAAAGCTGACCTGAGAATAGGCAGTTTCCGCCCCATCGATGGGGCTCACCAAAAACTTCGGGTTCCAACTCAATCCCTTGGAAGTGATTGGATCGAAGGGAACCCGGATTTTCAAGGGAAGCCCCCAACATTAGAAATTCTTACTATATGACGGTATTCCCGACTAACATGGAACCCACCAGAAAACTCTGTTCAAAGGGACCCTCTGGTGGGGTCCATGTTAGACGAGAGGGTAAATCAATGGAAAACCCGTCAGTAAGAGAAAACTCTCCATGGACCTTCCTTCAGAATAAAAGCCATGAAAACCTATCAGAAAGAGGACACACCCCTCAAAAACCCTCCATGGACCTTCCCTTTGCATAAAGCGGAAGCGCAAGCCAAGGCGCAGAAGGCCCGCCTGTGCCGCCAAAGCCTGGCTCCGGTGCTCGGGCAGCGGGTAGTGCCGGCCCTGCTCGTAGACGTCGCCCGTCTGCAGCTTGCCGATGATGAGGCGCAAGGCCTCCTCTTTGGGGGAATGTCACTCAAGCGGCTCAGATCGAAAGGCTCTAAAATTATGTGGGGTGGGGTGGGGGGGGGGGGGGTGGCGGGTTGGGTTGGTGAGGGGGTGGTGTCCAAAACCTGGAAGCCGACCAAAGCTCATGGAAACTTTGGCGGTTCGTTGATCCCTTTGTCCTGAGATATGCGATGACGCTAAAGGCGAAAAGCTAAAAGACTAAGGGTGTGGCTGGGAACCGTCGACACAAGAGCTAGGGTGGACACCAAAAACAGCTCTGGCAGGGACTGTGTACCTTCCTAACCGGTCATGGGTTTGTTAAAATGGGGGCCACCCGAGTGATGGTTTTCCTTTTGGGTTCCCTTTAAAGTCAACCTGGACGAGGGCACCCTCAAAAAAACACACACACACACACACACACACACACACACACACACACACACACACACACACACACACACACACACACACACACACACACACACACACACACACACACACATTCATGTACCCAGGTTTGGCTTGACCTGCCAAGTGTCAGAGACCCTGCGGATGGACAAAATGATGCAAAATTAATCCATCCCAACTGGTGAACCTGATTCCACGGCACCAAACCCCTTCAAAGACCCATCATTCAACCGTCAAGACCTTATCTGGCCTTGTCCGCCTCAACTTGTGGGGGATCTTCGCAGGGCAGTGTGGGACGCGCAAGGGGTGCTGTTGCAACCTAATGGCGACGATTGTTGAGTATCGGTGACTATCAGGGGCCTTTAACTGGAGTGCCCAACATGTTGGCTTTGCCTTTGCGACTCGCTCAGTGCAACTAAGTGCGTGGCGTTTTCTTGTTAGGGGGGTCAGGCCCCAATAGCAGCAACAGCTTTTCAGTATGTTGCCGTCCGCATGCTCGTATTTTCCTGATAAATGTTCGCGATAGTTGGTGCCTTTTTCTTGGCAACCAGCGTCAGCGGCCGGTCCAAATGGCAAAAAAACGCGCGCTGGTGTCAGTCACCAAATGGCCGTGCTGTCCATTCCAGGGGGTTGATTTTCGTGCTGGTCTTCTGAACCAAAATCATTGCAAGAGCTACGAGTACCTTCCAACACTGCAACCCATGAGCCCCTCGCAAACATGAAACCTGCGAACGTCTTTGCAATCAACGATGTTCAAAATGGAAGATTGGTGTCAATGGCGCAGTAGTGCAAACATGTCCTCTTTTTTTTGTGCCAGTGTCTCAGCACTACGGTCCACTCCAGTGGGATGGTTGTCTTGTGACTCCTATCCGTCACAAAACAGGGACAGTCTAATTTCAACGATGGGTAGTATCAGTGTGCAAGCCCACCCCCCCTCCCCCATCCCACCGGCTTCCTTTACATGCCCCGCCCAATCTATCCTCGATTCCCTTCACATGCCAAGTGTAGGCCCTACGCTATCGACCCACACCAACCCACACCGACCAACAAGCACCATAACCCTACAGACTTCGAAGCGGCAAAGGGAGACCAGAAGGAAACTCATCATGTGCAGGCGCCCGTTTTGACCCAGGCCAAGCCAACCCCATCCCGTCCTGGTGCAGCGGAAAGCGCGCGAAGTAGCTCTCAGGGTATCCCAGCTTCCGGACTGCCAGCTCGCCGTTCGGCCGGCCAGTCGACTTGAACAACCGGCAGACCTGGCCGGTTCCCCACCTTTCACACAGCCAGTCACCCCGCTCCTAGCAGAATGTGCGGAAGCCATAGCCCAGGTTGCACGCAAGTGGAGGCTTCATTGACTTGCCTTGCTTTCTGTTCGTTGAACCCAGAGTGAGTCAATGCTCGGGCCAATCGAGATTTTTCCATGACAGGGATTGAAACGACAAACGTGGGGGCACCCTCCCAAGACTGCCGTCCCTCTAAACCCGCCTGAAACTCGAACCCTCCAAAAATACCACAAGCCCCACTGCCCGTAGAACCTTCCGATCGCCCCAACGCCTCAGCGAAGTCCTCGGGTTCGCTGCTGGTGCCCACCTCGGAAGCAAACTGCCACGGATCCCGAACGCTCCCAGCCTTTTCTTTCTGGGGTCAATTGGTTCGGCGGCTTGTTTTTGTTGTTGTTGGTTTTCTCCTTCTGGGGTCGAATGGTTTTGTTTTTTCTTGTACCAGGGTCTTGTTCTACCAGTCTTCTTTTCTTTTCTGAGAGGGTCCTTTTCTGCCAGGCTTTGCCTTTTTCTACTAGGGTCTCTGCGGGTTCCCTGTTTGAGCTGTCAAAAAAGGGTTCCCTTGTTCAACCGATTCCTTTTCTAGCAGGGGTCCATTTTTGTCCAGGGTCAAAAAAGTTCCCCTTTTTCAACCGCTGAACAAGTCTAAAACCACAACCACTTTGGGGGTCTTTAGGCTGCGATGGCTACGAGGAATCAGCATATGACGAATGCATCCTGTCAACACAAAATCAGATCCCCGTGCTACGCAACAATGCACATGTGCATACATCATACATGCATGGTTACTCGTATATATGTATGTGCATGTATGCATAACGTGTACACATATAGATATATCGACATGTTGATCTATTGATGAATGCATGTGTAGGCATGTGTTTGTGCATGATGGGCGGATGGAAGGATGGTAGGATGGATGGAAGGATGGAAGGATGGAAGGATGGACTGGTCGAATGGGTGGGTGGGGTGGGGTGGGGTGGGGTGGGGTGGGGCGGGGCGGGGCGGGGCGGGGCGGGGCGGGGCGGGGCGGGGCGGGGCGGGGCGGGGTGGGGTGGGGTGGGGTGGATGGGGTGGATGGGGTGGATGGGGTGGAGGGGTGGATGGGGTGGATGGGTGGATGGGTGGGTGGGTGGATGGGTGGATGGGTGGATGGGTGGATGGCTGTGTTGATACGCGGTTTCGTGAGTAAGTCAGTGAGTCAGAGAGTGCGTGAAATCCAATGAAACGAAAGGAAATGAAATAAAATGACATCATAAAATCAAAGGGAATGAAACGAAAGGAAATGAAGTAGTATCAAAATGGATGAATCAACGAGGGAAACAACGAATCAACGGAAACAATGAAGCAATGAATCAATGCATCACTCAATGCACGGATGCTTGGATGTATCGTATGCATGTATAGACATAGAATATCGCCCATATACTTCTCTGTGCTATATGCTTGTATGTCTGTAAGCATGTATGGTAGGCAGGTAGGCAGGTAGGCAGGCAGGCAGGCAGGCAGGCAGGCAGGCAGGCAGGCAGGCAGGCAGGCAGGCAGGCAGGCAGGCAGGCAGGCAGGCAGGCAAGCAGGCACAAGGCTGATTGAGGTCCGTTTTCTCAGCGCTTTCCACTGTTCAAATCAAAGCGCTCAGCAAAATCTGATCAGCACACCCTGCGAGCACCTTGCACGCGACTTGCACCAAACTTGTTGCAGGTGTGCCAAGATAGCGATGTATGGAAAATGCGCAAGCAAATCGCAACGCGCTGCCCGCTTCTTGCGCACCGTTAGTCCCAGACCTTCTTTGCCATTGTCAGTTCGGCGAAGTATGAAGCAAAAATTAAACGACTTATGGACGGCACCCAGGTGAATAAGCAACAATGACCGCCAGTGCCACAATTCAATGCATATCTCGAATGCGTATCCACCCACTTCGACCGTTCTCTTGGAGCCTTCTTTCTGGCCCATTCATGAAGAATATGGGAAGGAAATCTCGAACCAGTCCTTAACAAACCCCGGCGCCAATCGTGATCAGTTCCCACATTCCCTCTCCAACACCAACAAGTTGCCTGTTCTTTTGTAATTATATGGCTCGATGGAAGGATCCCAGTGTCTGCCCCCTCCGCGCCAGCCCGTGCAAAGGGAGGCACCGTGCACCGGTAAAAGAGCACCAGCGCTCGCTCTCGGCAGGCACCACCAATCCGCTCGTCCAGCACCAGTAACATCCTTCTCCGAAAAAGCATCGTCCAGTCGTCTTTTTGGTGAATGTTCAAGCCATAAACCTAGGATCCTAGAAAACTCTTGGCGAACATCAGTTTGGAGGGACAAGATGTAAGATGGTAACATGCGGTGAAACAGATTTGGATCAAACATGGAAAGCTGCCATGGTGAGCCGTGGTCCTGTGGCCGTTATCAACAAGACCCCTTTGTGAACAAGCGGAGAGGCGGGGGGGAAAAAAAACGACACTGGGGGAGGTGAAATGAAGCCATGTATTTTTTTTGAGGTTGGGGTTACTTGAAGGGAAACCAAAGTAAACCAGATGCTTTTCTGGGGGTCCCAGATTCCAAGACAAACCCATTTGCACTTAGGGCGATGGAACAGAGCTTCAACATTGTCGTGAATGCGATCAAACCTATGCCAGGTGCGGGGCGTGGATCCGACAACAAAGATGAAAACAAAGCTGAGGCGCTGCCATTCTCATAGGGAGATGTAGCAGGGTTCAGAGAGCCTAGAATCGCCAAGACCATGGGACCATTCACATGTGGACATTCTTGGGCACCAGAATACTGATTGTGCATATATAGCCTTAAGTTGATAGTCTCGAGATTTGGTGGATGTTGCGCATGTGGTTTCCATTGCTCTTAAAACAAAAGAACGAAAAACATCTACAACAGGCGCGAATATAACAAAGACTCAACAGCACACCCACACCCACGCGCATAGATATATAGGGCAAGACTCCGCTCTTTTCAATCTATACATAATAAAATTTAATGTGTGCGCGCATGCGCAGGCACGCGAACCCACACACGAAGGCGCAGTGCATGCCCGTGCCAGCGCCCTCACCCAAGTGCACACGCACGGGCGCGCGCGGACACCTACCCACACACGCACCCAAACCCACTCCCACAGGAACACGCAAACACAAACATACACACACACTCGCGCAAACTGTCACTGTATACACACACACACACAAACGCGCGCGCACACGCACAGGCACGCACACTGCCCAAGCAACGCACCCACCTACGCAGTGGCCTAATCACAATCCGTAATCCGCTTAATCCTTGTTCTGCAACATGGGAAATCTATGCTACCCACAATCCGTAATCCGCACAATCTGATCCATAAATCGCAGTATTCGCAATCCGCGAATCATTGGGAGATAGGTTTTGAACAAGCTAGACAATTGCCTGAGTGTCCTCTCCCCTTTCACCCGCCCGGGAAGAGGCAGAACACACCAGGTTCCGGGGTTCCATGTGATTGGGACAGTGCCCTAGCCTCCTTTCAAGGGTCACAATTGGGTCCATGTTAGCGCACTCCTTTAGCTCTCCCTCTGCACTTTCCAAGCTGGAATTCAGAGATCTGCAAATCTTGCAATATGTCCAAAACCTGAGATAGGGGCTTCCCCCAGGATCTTTACCATGGCTTTCGCTCGTTTTACCCCCTCCCTTTCATTCGAGGCACGTGCCCAGCAGCGCCACTGCTTCCGGCAACAGCTGAGACCCATGGACGTCCCGAAGCAAGCTCTCCACGCCTTGGGCTGAGCTCTCCCGGAGATGGATGAACAAAAGTCCTGCACTTAAGAAACTTTGAAATGATGATTCGCCTGTATAGGACAGGTTCCCGTGGTTCCAATGTCATGAAGCATTTTGAAACAGTGTGTTTTTTTTTAATCACGGCTTCTTAGGTGCGAAATGGAGTTCGCAACCATCCACAGTATCATGTTGACCCCGGATGGATCAAGCCCTTTTCGCCCTCCACGTCCAGCAATTTGGGAGCTCTCCGCGTCCAGATGGGTCCAAGCTAACCCCATATTGATCAACCAACCAGTTTATTGATAGGGGGCTGGGGTCCCCTCCAAAAGTGGAGGAAGAATCCAACCACTAAACCCAGCTGGGATGAAGCAACCCGGTTTATTAATTGGGGGTGGGGGTCCAGTCTAAAAGTGGTCTGAATCCAACCACTAAACCCAGGGACACCCTGATATTCATAAACAGGGGTTGATCAATCCGGGGTCAACATTAGGGCCGGATTGGTATCCAAAAGTACCCCGAGTTTTCGTCAAACACTTAAGATGCCCTCCAACCGAACATGGAACCTGACGTTCGGGACCCGGTCCCTTTTGAGGGAAATGGTCCAAACCGGAACGTCAGGTGCCATGTTTGCGGACGTGAGAGCAGTCCTAATGTTCGCATGACGTGAAAGGCAAAACCTCCCGACTTCTCATCCACTCTAGCCTCTGGGAACCTCTTTTTGAGCTCCTTGCAGGTGAAAGCTGCAGAATTCCTTGCCAGTCTAGGGCTCTCGACACACCGCCAACAAGTAAAGAGGGCTCCAAAAGGCAAAACGATGACATGGTGTTCAAGTGAATGGAAAACGGTGGAAACCCCAAGAACCCACAAACCTCCTCAGTACTGTGGTTGCTAGCGAGGATTGGCGACCTGTTGCTCCAGAAACATGCTCATGCTTTGAACAGCCTCAATGAAAGTCGCATTCTACAAGCAATGCGCCTAGTGGTGTCGCCTTGGGAGGAAACTGATTCTAGATGTTGTTTGCGGGGGAGGAACCTCCGCTTGGTTGGTTTAGAAGGGAGACTGAAAGGAAATCAGACATTTTCAGGGGGGTCCGCCTGATTTAGACATTCCATATTTCAACACCAATACGGCCACTCATTTCCAATTGCTCCAATCTCGACTGCTCGAGTAATCTATGTAGTTTGGTGAAAGCAGTAGATTGCACAATGTCTTTCACGGTGAGCAAAGGGAATGATAATGCTGGGGAAGAAAATCGCATCATCTCATTCCCCCCCAATTGCAGCCAGACACGTCAACGTCTGAAACAGCTGCTTCCTCACAAAAGAGGCTGCTCCTTTCTCGCAAGGTCTGCCTTTGCAAGTCGCAGGTTTCTCTCGAAACTTCCATTTGCTTAAGCCTCCCGGAACCAACAAGGGAAAATATAACATATTCATTTCAGCAAATTGAAGAAAATCATGTGTTGGAAATTGCAGGAATCTCTCCAAATCATGTGGCTTCCCTTTGAGCTCCCTTTTAACCCACCCCATCCCGAAACCAAACCAAGCCCCGCGTTTTGCCCGTCCATCCGGCGCACAGCTTCACCCGGGTCGCTGTGGCCCACGAAGGCGCCGGCGTCCAGGTCCTCTAAGAACCGGCCCACGTCCGCGGCGTACCTCCCCCCCCCCCCCGGGAAAAAAAAAGGCTCGGAGTTTTTACGCGGAGCAGGTCCTGCCTTTCCTGTCTTCCACCTGGAATTCCCGATGAAACGCAAGGATTCACAGAGCTCATGAGCATGTCCTGTTCCTGAAATGTTGCAGTCATAGGTGTCCTTTTTGGGAAATAGATGGCCCTGGTAGTTGATTGAACCACCAGGTAAACCAGGGCCCTCTATTTTTCAACCAAATCAACCAAAAAGGACGCCTATGGTTGCAGTGTTCTCCTGTCTTCCCTCTGGAACTCCCAGTGATCATCCCAGGATTCACACATGAGCCACCAAATAGAAGCTTGCGCACCGAAGCTTCACTGGACGTGTACCAAAAGAAGGCAACCAAAAGGTTCCACAAGAAACCCGTTTTGAGAGGAGCCATCCAAAGATAAGCTTTGGTTCCAGAAGCTCACAACTACTTCAGACGGCCATCAATCCCCCTTTGATGTTGGGTTTGGGGAGCAAAAACTTAGCTTTTAGCAGTTAAGTGGATTTGGATTTCAACCACTAAGCCACAAGCAAAAGGTCAAAATGTGTCCCAACAACAACCACCTCCATTTGCTTAAGTTTTCTGGAACAAATAAGAATACTTCCAGTAGTGAAATCGATTCCCTTTAACACCAACAGGGGAAGTTAAAAAAATAGTCATTTCACCGAATGGAAGACCATGCCCCCCCCTTTTCGATCCCGGGGGCTTCTTGATGGCTGCCAGGATCCGGAAGATCCGCTCGGCGCAGGCGGCGTGGAGCTCTCGGCTCTCCTAACCCATGGCGTGGCGGTGCCGGCCGGGACCTAGTTACTTGAGAAGCCAAGGCTGGATAAACACCCGGCAACTGGTGCAGGATTGGATAAAGCCCTATAAAACATGGGATAAGCACCTTCCAACTGGTGCAGGATTGCACGAAATCCTGCCAAGCACACGCCATGCGTATGGTCCGTTTTCTCTCGCATGATCGGCCACTTGCAGTTTCGCGGACTCCCGCCGACCACAGCCTGGGACGCGATACTCAAGGGGCCTTGCTCAAACCCAAACGTGAAGAATCAGAGCGGCTTTTCGCACCTATGGGCCCAGACTTCAACTGGATTGTGGCACTGCTGGGCGTGTCTTTTCAGTTGGCAGATCGTTTGGGTTGCCGGGGAACCAAAAGGAAAACCAACTGTTCATCTTAGCGGGGGGGAGACTCCACGTCTCTCCGGCTCCCTCCACCTCTCTGCCCCTCTCCTCGTCCAGCTCGATCTTCTCAGCGGAATCGGCCACCCGATCGATGGCCCCCTCTTTGCGGAACACCGCAAAGTCCGGCAGCACCGGCAAGAGCCGCACATCCCCGTCCTGCCACCCAGGGTGACCCTGCATTTCCCCCAGACATCGCAGCAGAAGGTGCCACTTTGGCACCGAAATGAAGTACAGTCGGTTTCAGCAAAAGGTACCTAAGTCATCTGGGATTCAGCGCCAGTCGCAAGGTGCCAAATGGGTGTCTCTGAACAAATATCAAACGTACACGTTTTTGGTTAGGCCTACCAAAAGGAAAGCCATTTTGGGTGTGTGTTTTTTTGACATGCCCTTCAGATGGCAATGTGCTTGTTGTGTCAGCACTTGGCAGGTTCACGTGGTTGTTTCTAATTAGAGAGCCCAGTGCTTGGATCCCTTTCGGTTTCCGTTTAGAACCTCAAAAGGTGGCAGCAATGGAACCCAGCCAATTGCAACTTAAGGGGAAATCCAGGAATCCCTTTGAGACCACCCCAGCAAGCTTATCAAGCTAAAAAGAGTCTGGGGGGGTTGCCCTCAACCTGAACAAACACCTGGTTCACCTCGCACCCCAAAACCCAAACCCAAAACCCAAAATGGTTGACCCCTGGTTGACTTTTGACCCCGCCCAACACCCCAAAACCCTAAAAACCTGAAAACCCAAACGGCTGTGGCTCAAAAACAGTTGCGTAACCCTAGCTCTTTAATTTTGAGACACACCCAAACCCCAAAACCCAACCACCTCCCCCGCCCCCAGCCCGCGCTCCCGCAGCCCAGCAGGCAGCGACTCCGCGCACCGCTGCAGCTCCGCCACCACCGCGTGGCCGCGGCTCAGCAGCCGCAGCAGCGCCCTGCCGCAGTCGTGGCCCAACGCCATGGCCGCGATCTCCGAACTCGACCGAAAAACCCGCAGGGTCTGGGAGGGTCGAAGAGAGAAGCGTTGGTCATCTGGGAGTTGGTCGTGTTTGTTTTTGCTTTTTTGTTTTGGGGGGGGGCGCTCCAAATTTGACGGCTTGGCGGCCTTCCTTACGTGTTAACTCGTCGTACTTTGAAGGGCCCACTGCGTCACCAGGGTGCCCCTTTTCGAGACTTCCTCCCAAATCACACCGCAAAGGGCAGCCAAAGATGTGGAAAGCGTGGGGAGATCTTGGGTGTCTGTCCTTTGGGGGCTGGTACCTTGGAAGAATTCAAGCCTTTGCCGAATCCGACCAGCTTGGGGCAACCCTTTCAGACACCTTTTTTTTGAAAGATAAACTGAGATTCAAAAGGGATACGTTATACACCTGAACAGTGCCTTGTAAATGGTGGTTTCCCTTTATTTTGGTGGAAAAAGCCATGTCTTAAACGGTTGCAAAATGTCTCTTTTAAGGAGCCCTGTTCAAGGTGGGACGGGAGAGGGAGCGAGAGGAGTGAAAAGAATCTCTTAAGGCGCAGGCCTCAACCCCCAAAGCTCAAGCAAAGCGAAGGAATCCGGAACTGCTAGTGGGAGTCCCTATTGGACACGAAGGCGGCCGTCTGGTTGCACCTCTCTTGATATCTGGGTTCATGCAAATAAGTGAATGAGACTCAGGCAACTACATAGTTCGACTTCAGGTTGGCAAAGCTGGCTAAACTACGGCGTTTGCCTCAGCTAGGTGTCTTGCACATGGTTATTTGGCATAAAGCACAAGCTGCAATCCATTTCTGAGTCACAATTTGCTGGTCATGCTCGCTGCATGATCTTGATTTCATGACCAGGTGATTTGCTTTTTGCTCTATGTTCAAACGAGCTGCAAGGCGACCGAATGCTTCTCTGGCCGTGTGTCTTCAAACAAAAGCTGCCAGTACTAGACCAATACAAAAGCCAGGAAAGCAAGGAGTTTCCTTCCGTATCTCTGTGCCCCGTTGGTGCCCTGCAATTTGTGCAGATGTGACCAGTCGCCATCGCGTCGATTGTCGCGTCAAACTGCCGTGTGCCAAGCCCAACATGAACGCAAGAAGCTGAGTAGCTTCAACGGGAAATTGTGCATATCCGCAACCACCCAAACACAAACAACAGCCCATGGATCACATCACTGCGAGTGCTAGCTAAGAACAGCAGCATGCCGCAAGAGCCAAATTCCATCTTCAGAGTCGTTCTCTGACGACCGCGACGTTTGAGCAAACTGCTCCTTAAACCCCCATGGTCAATGCTTCAGAGAAGCTGTCAATAGAGTTCATGGTCAAACGAAACATCCCCTGCACACATCCCACGGTTGGAAGCATGAGCTCTCAAGCAGCTGTATCGGGCATGTGTCCTTATCGTGGACTGGCGGGTCTTTCCAAAAGGCAATGGCTTGCAAACATGCAATTGCATTGCCCGATGCATGCTTCGAGTGCGGATCTCAATTCCTCTGTGCGTGCATGGGCCGCGTTTCTACGTTTGTAGAGTGGGGCGACCAAAGCACCTCCCCACCTTCCAGGAAAGGTTCTTAGCTAGTGCTGAGAACCAAAAGAAAGCTGAGCCGCCAAAAGGTCCTCCAACTTGGTGTTAACATGGATTGAACACATGGCAGCCCAAACAGGCGCTCTCTTTGTCAACCGCTGCGGGCGTTCGGACTTCGCCTAGGTGCGGAGGCAATGGATAGATGGCAAAAGATGCCTCCGGGCAGGGTGGGACTCCGAACACCAGCACCCAAAAATTGTGTACTGCCCCCCGCAGATTTTCAGGCGGAAATGTCACCGTCACACCCACTAAAAGTGCCCATGATCTTGCCAGCGATGGCATGCTTCTCTTGTTTGTCTAGTGCACAGGTGAAACCATCGTTTACATCAGCCCGCAACATGATCAGCCATGGAGAAATATCGATGCTGTGGAACAGGCTTCCTCACCAGCTCTCGTGCAACTTCCACTTGGAATGCGAAGAGCGACGGCCCTCGGACATCCACGAATCTTTACTGAGTATTTGTCAGGATTGGCACGACCTCAGAAACTGCCCGGCGAAAGACTGCCTCAAATCTTGGAAGGGGGGCCTCCTACACTCCCTCAGACTAACATGGAAGCTCCCAGAAGGCCTCTGTAAATGGAACTAAGTCTTCCAAAGGGGTCCTGGGAGCTTCCATGTTAGTCTGAGGATACCCGAGTCCCACTTTCTCCGCCGAGCCCCGCACCTTCAGGCGATCCGCGCACGGGGCTCGTAAATGGTAGCCAGAGTGCCTGGCTTGCTCCTCTAGCGGAGGCGAGAACACGCGTCTGCATTTATCTCACAGGGCCAGGTGCGGTGCCAGGTGGCATTGGTTCACATATGAAGCCATGGATCCATGGATGTTTCATTGGTTTAAGTGAAGCCATGGATCCATGGTTGGAACGAGTAGGATGCTACATGAAGCCATAGATCCATATGGCTGTGGCTCAAAAAACCGGTACCAAAATGGAACCCTGGCAAGTGGAAACATGGACCAAAACCTGCGGTTTGCCCCTCCGATCGTTTAATTTTGAGCCGCACCCATATGGATGTTTCTCTTTAGCTCGACCGTTTTGCGATTGGCACCTCTTGGTGCTTGTGGGCAAAAGCAGAGAAAATAACTAGCAGGTGCCCACAACCCCCCCCAGGTGTGCCCTCACCCCGCCCGTCCCCAAACACAGGGCTCCCTATATTTCCCCTTACGACATCACCCCCACCAACAAACACTCACCTTTCATGGGCCAAAAAGTGTTTAAAACCGCCAACAAGGGGTGAAATATAGGGACCCCTGAAAGCTCGGACGACCTACCTTCCTCCGTCTCCGGACATGTCCCCGTCCTCTCCGTCCTGTCCATGGCCGCAAGGTCCGTCTTCAGACCCTCCACGTGGCGGAACAGCGCGTCCACCCGCTTGCGGTCGGCCGCGGAGTTCCCCGAGTTTGCGGAGGCCCGGAGCTGCTCGATGCGCTCCGAGTTTTGCGCCACGCTCACGGACATGTCCTTCACCACCGCCTGTTTGAGCGCGCGTTGAGCGCGCGTTGCACGCGCATTGAAGGCGGAAGGCCGTGGTGAGGGTTTCTTAGGGCTTAAAGGGGCACCCGGGGACTTGGTGGTTAGCCTAGTTTTTAGCCACTCATGGTTGTAATTCCCCAGGGAAAACTTTTATGTCCGAAATGGTGACGTGGGACTGGCCGAGGACGAAAACCCATGCAACGATGATATCCAACCCGAGCCTGCCGGGTGAGTTCCCAGGGTGCACGTGCCGGTTGGCCCGACGCCGACATGCTAATTAGCCATGAGAACATCCGAAAAAGAACGGAACACGCGGCCTTCTTCCAACATTGCAAAGTTCAACAAGGGTTAAATAAACAAGTTTGGAGGGTGAAAAAACAGGGAGCCCTTCAACATTGGAGGCTTCCCTTCCACCTCTTCCAGATGCCAATGAGGAAGGCTGATTGGAAGTGACCTCGGCCCTTTCTTACGCTGGACATCGCCCGCGCTGCTCTGCTTCGGCCATTCAAGGTGCAACTCGATCAACAGAAATGCGGTACGCAGCTTGTGCCACCCAGAAGTGATGTGGTTCATGTGTTGCAAGGTCAACTGTCTACAAGCCCGCCAACTGACATTTGGGCTGGCTGCAAGCAAAGGATCAAGGATCTGGCCAGCATACTTTCCCATGTTCCCTTCCCTGTAAAGGTGCAGCTTGAAGGCAACGAGTCCTCAAGGCCGTCTGAGCGGCAACGATTCCCAGCTTGATGTTGCGTGGCTGCCAGCATTTCAAGAAGGAAAGCTCTCGCATCCGTCCCATCTTGCTGCAACTTGCAGGATGGGCGCATGCATTGGAAGTCCCAATTTCCAGCCCACCCCTGCACCAACGGAGAAAAAAAAAAACATTTACATGAACTCCATTCCCCTTGAAAGGCAGCACGACAGTAGAATCCCTTGTCCCCCAAAAACCCAAAAGACTCTCTGGGTTGGGAAACCCACAAAGTGGCTGCTGCTTTTTCAAGCCTTCCCTCTTCCGATTTGAGCGGGCCAACCCTGGAGGTGTAAGGGAGGCGTGTCCTTTCTTCCCTTCACGACAGCCCAAAGCACCCGAAAAGCCGAACAACCTGTTGCCGAAGATGCCGAACAACCCCCCCCCCCCACCCCCCCGCGCTCACCTCCATGTGCTTCAGGGACTTGTTGATCCGCACGGTGTTCGTAGCAGAGACCTCCACTTCCCCATACAAGCTCTGGATGCCTGGGATAGCTCAGCTGTCTCGAGATGTCCATTTCAGCAAGCCCATAGACTTGAACCCGGCAGTTGACTTCTAAAGGAAGACAACATCGCCAACATGCCACCTGAAAGGAGACCTCTCGGGGAACAAAAAAAAACGAGCAAACCGAGCAGAGCCACGGGCCCTTGATCCTTGAGAGCAACTAGTGACTACTGGTGACAAGTTGTCGGCATATTTTGGTTGCTCGGATCGCCTATGATAGAGATTCCTGTTGAGAGGAGGGTTGCCCCAAGCAGATGGCTCTTTTGACCGCACAAACTTTAAGACATGTTTCGAGGGGGGTGTTCCTTTTGGGACGTATCAGACATGGGGTCCTGACTCGAACCCCAAAGGAACATGACTTTTCTTTCGCGGAGATCAACCAACCCTAGCCCAGGGTTTGAGAGCGTGCGTCTGCTTGTTTGTGTGTCTGTCTTTGGGTAAACCAAAGCCGTAGTTTCCTGCTCACTGCTGTCCTGCTGTTCTGCTGTGCTGTCTTTGTGAACAAACAAACAAACAAACGTCACCACTGGCCCAGCTCAAAGTTTAACTTTGAGTGGGATAAATGTAGCTAAGCCACGTAAAGTTCAAAGCTAAGGAACCGGAAGGCTGGGAACCACCAAAACCAGCACACCAAAAAAACTTACAGCTCATTCCGGAGTGGATTGCCCCATGCTCTCAGCACAAGCCAGCTGACTCTGGGTCCTAACCTGGCTGTAAAGGTTTACACAAGCCAGTAGAACCAACTTAAAGCCTACAGCCTACTATAGCCCTTCATCAAAACAGAACCGCCTAGAACCGCCTAGAACGCCCAATGACCATGGACGCTGACCCCCAAGTTTCGCTCAAGGCGCTGCTCTGCATCTGCTCCAAGACCTGCGATCTCGCGCCCTCGGGATCGGACTTGCGCCCGCTGAGGCCTCGCGGATGGGAAAACAGCCGGGGGCATGTCTCGGCTGGGGAACCAACGGTCGCCGGTTTGGAAGGTGGGGGAACTGTCGTAGCTCAAGGCGGTCAAGGGGGGGTCGCCTTTGTTTGAGCATAAAGAAATCCTTTGAGTTGGGTTCCCAGCATCATGGAGGTGCTGGGGTTTGGCCTAAGGATCACCCTGGCATCATCCGAACGGTTTGTCACAACTTGTTCCGCGTGGCTTGACCATGTTCAACGTGTTTGCGTCGATCCATCTAAACACAAATTTCACGCCATGCTGGTGTGTGTCAACACCACCTTGCGTCCCTCCTCATCTCAAAAACAACAGAAGCGGCCAGAAGCACCATCGAGGAAGGCGGGTGACAGCCAATTCCGTCGCAAGGTGCTTTCTCTCGCAAAGGAGTCGTGAGGTGCCGCAGGTGTGTACCACGAAGGTCCGCTAAAGGTTTCTTTCCAGAGGGCGTTCCTTTCTGGTTGCATGGATACCGTGTAGCTTACGCAAATGGCAGGGACCCAAGAACACTGAAAAGCATTGCATCCTTAACCAACTGTCCCTTGGGAAAGCAATACAAGAAAGTCAGTTGGACCCTTACAAACCATTTCATGGGAGTGCCAAGGACGCCCAGTCTATTTGGGTGTCTTATAAGGGTACCCCCTTTTTGGATGGCAAACTTTGGTGATGTAATAAGCATAAAAAGGGGTTTTCACTGAAGAAACTTCTGCGGAAATGTGTATCTACTAGGGGGCTCCAGATCCTATTTTGACTCAGACGCCCAGTGGCCAGGGGAAAAAAAGGGCATCTTTTTTTGGTTGGTTGAGCTTAAAGGGAACCCTTCCCCAAAAAAAAGGAAAAAGGAAGCAACCCACTGGGCAACTGGGTTGAGACCAAACCAACGAACGGGCTTTTTCAGTAAAGAAACTCTGCGGACAAAAAAAAAAAAACATATAATATGTATGTAGTGGGGGGCTCCAGATCCTATTTTGAGACCAAAAAACAAACCCCGAAAACCCCACAGCTTGAAAAAACTGACCCTCCGTCCGCTGGCGTGCAAGCGCGGCCTTGCTCCAGCCTCGCCAGACCCGCCCGCAGCTCCTTGCATCCCCAACAACGCCGATTCTGCCCTCAAAAAAAACACCCAGTGGTTGTCCTCTGCTGGTGCCCACCTGGTTTTCTTGGTTTTATTTCATGTTCTTTTATTTTATGTACTTTTGGAGGGGTGTGAAGGAGCTCTTCCACTTCCTTCCACTCTGGTGGCAGAGAGTGTTCCGACTGTTTGAAACGAAGCCCAATGTCCATCTGTCCCATAGGACTGCCGTACCATCCCGGGATCAAGCCCCCTACTGTGGACGAAATCCTTTCGCAGCACCGTTCAGAAACCCACTGTGGATGGTTGCGAAATCCTTTCGCACCACCGTTCAGAAACCCAACGGAATGATTCGATTCCCCAACGCAAATACCGAAAAAAACAACGGCTTCCCATGGTTTCAAAGTGGAGGTTCAATAAATGAGCTCCCGGTCACGGCAAGTCTGAACCAGCATGGGACCAACGGGTTTAATCCATGTTTCCATTTGCCAGGGTTCCTATTTTGGGTACATGTTTTGACCCAGTCCCATTTACATCCTCTGACTGGCAGAATATGCCCATGGAACCATGGAAAGCCATGCAGGAGAAGTGATGTGCTTCTAAAAGCTAAGACCAATCACCAAAGCTCAGTCCCGGAATGTCTAGGTGAAGAAATCCAGCACTGGACCTTGCAATAGACTGCAAGACACTGGCTTATTGACGTGCCTCTTCCGAAATACGGATTTGCTCTTCGAGCTCGCAACTTTGGAGCCACTTGGTCCGTGTTTCACCAAAACAAAGCCGGTTGACTTGTTGAAACCAGCTGAATCACATGAAAAGAGAGCGCCCTGCTTACAGCAGGATTTGCCACAAGCCCTCTTTTGCGGGCCTCACGCAAAAGGCAACCCCCGAACTTGGCCCAAATCATATTCAAGGCGTTCATATTCTTGGTTGACGTTGGAAGGGGAGCAAAAAAACTAAATTTTAGCAGTTAAGTGGTTTTGGATTTCCCACCAAACCACAATAAGCAAAAATGCAAAATGTTTCCCAACAACAACCATGTATTCAGTCTAAAATTTTAGAATACGTCCTTAGGGACACCTTATATTGACAAACAGGGGTTTATTAATCCGGGGTCAACATTGTTCAGTCTACCGGCGAACAGCGGCACTGCCGTGCCCCTTTGCGCCTTGGACTCTTGCTGAAGCTTTGACTCTACGGTGGCCAGCTTCACGTCAGCATCCTGCGACACTTGGAGGAAGCGTATGTATCTTATTTTTGTTGTTGTTTTTGTTTTTTGTTTTGGGGGGGGGGGGGGCAGAATTGCTGGCTTTCCTTTTGGCTTCCCTTTGAACCAACCTAAACCAGATACCCGAAGCAGAAACGCAAGCGCAGAAGTACAGAAATCCGGGAGCTCCGCCCCTCCATTCCTAGATTCACGCACAGCTTGCCGACGCTGGAGGGTTCGTAACTCCAGCAGGTTTCCCCGGTTTTGAAGGGCAAGCCAGAGGAACACCACGATTTTCAAGGTCCCCTTTCAAATGACCAAGCGCGCCAAAAAACCTTCGAGGAGACAAGCCGGTGGGTCCGGGTGTTGGCTCGTTGGCCCGTTGTGAAGCCCGCTTGACGCGAGGAGTCCAACTGAAGCTTGGGGTCTTACGGAGATCGCCTTGCACAATCAAGCGACATATGAGTCACAATCAAAACCGATCGGTACACAAATGATGAACCCAGAACTATGTAAAGAACCAAGAAGGCGGATATCCGCAGCTATTTATGGCTGGGATCGTCCCTTACTAACCTTCATCTACCCAGGTTTTGATTGTGGCTCATGTAATTATCCCATGCAGGCAACGCACCGATGCCCGTTCCATATCTCGTGCAAAGCTCTAAAAATCACCTTACATCAGGTGGCTGGAGAGAACTGCAGCCAACATCTTGCGAGTCACTGTGCAACAATGTGGGCTGGTGAGCAAAGCACTTGTAGCAAAGCTGGCGTGCCACGGAATGTTTGAAGTCAGAAGGTCTGCCGGCTTCAGAGAGACTCATTGCTTTCAGCTGTGAGCACCAATACTGTGGATGGTTGCGAAATCTATTTTGCACCAAGAAACCAACGGAATGATTCGATTCCCCAACGTAAATACCAACAAACAATTCCCTTCCCATGGCTTCAAAGTGGTGCGAGATGGACTTCGCAACCATCCACAGTTCCAATGCAACTGCCAGCTAGTGGCCTGGCCAATCACTCTCTGCCAATCACTCGCAGCATCTGACCAAAGCGAGTGGCAAGTCAAACTCTTTGCACCAGCAGCCAGAAAATGTCAGAAGAGCAACATAGAACCGCCTTGACATCAGAAAAAACACATTGTCTATTGACCAGGTAGGTGGTTGGGGTTTGGGGGTGTGGGGAGTTGTTTCACCCAGCTTGGGTATCAGGTTCACTATCGCTTGTGAGTGAACTGTCTACTGCCCTTCAAAGTTTGAAGGCCCTACATCCCAAATCCACGCTTCAAAAAGCGCAACCAGATGTTTGAACCGTCGGCCTTGGAGGCATCTCGGCAAATTAGCAAAGCCAAAATAACTGGAATGGGTTTATGGGATGGGTGGAATGCAAGTCATGAACTGTTCGTAGATAAATATTATCTTTGTTCCTTCACCCGAGTTGGCCATTCTCTCACGCGATCCTTCTTTTCACAAAAAATCACCCAACAACAACTGCGTAATAATCAAAACCCGGTATTAAAATGGTCTACCCAGAACCATGCTTCAAGAATTAAGAAGGCGGATTCCCGCAACTATTTGTGGTTGGGATTGTCCCTTACCTTCATCTACCCGGTTTTTAGCAAGCTCAACTACTTTTTGAGCACAAGGATGGAAAGACTCGGATGGCTCCAATTTGTTGGCTCCACGCGGCCCAGGCCGGAGCCCTAAACTTCAAGCTCCAAAACCGGGCGAGTGATACGGAAGAAAGCCCAAACTTCGAGCGTGGACATGCTTCACTCGGTGGCCAAATCTGCGAAGCCCTGCTAAAAGTGAATAACTTTTAGTGGTTTAGTACGGAAAACCCAAATTAGTTGGCAAAATGTTATTCAGTCCTAACATCCAAGCAAAATGCACCAACGTGAGGAATTGATCCCTTTGTGGACGCATCCTCAATTACCGGGAAACAAAAGCAGCGAATTGGAAGGAAGAAAGCCGCCCCCTCCGGCCCTCCTTTCGCGCGTGCTCTGCCAACCAACGGCAGTGCCGCTGCACGTCCTGGAGCGAAACAAAAGAAAAGGAAAGGCGGTGTCAGCGCCAAAACGCGCGCCTCTCCGACCTAAGGACTTTTCACGTGGGCGTGTCCCAAAATAGCCACAGCCCCCCCTAAGATGGTCGTTGCCCCTCTCCCTTTCAAACCAACCGGAAAAGGACACCTCAAGACAAGCCCAGGTGGACATTGTGCTACACGTCCCAACCTCACACCTGAAGTGGTCTCCATGGCTAGCAGTGCTCCTGGAATGGAAGGACTCATGCTGAAGCACTACTCAACTGTGACCAAGAACATAAAGATGAACCAACACAAAACCATGACAAACGCTGCCAAACGCAGAAGTCGTACTTGGATCTACACTAGTCAACGTTGCTCAATTTATATGAAAGTACTACCACACTAATACTGAGCTCAGCAAAGCTCGTACCGCAGTTCAGGCTGCATGATGAAACAAAAAAGCTTTGCACTCACATGCCTGTATGTTGCATTCGTCAATTGGTAGACTTCAGTAACAGCAAATCCAGGAAATTTCGACAGCTGTCCCCATCTGCAAATCCAAAAAGGCAAGAATCCGGACAGCGGCCTGGTTGTCCATCCATCCTCCATTACAGGTCCCCTCAAAAGAAACAATTTCGTGCATGGAACGGCATGCAAACTCATGAGCACCTAGGTTTTGGGGATGAATCTCTATATATATATATATACATATGTGTAATAATAATAATAATAATAATAATCATAATAATAATAATATATAGAGATATCATGCGCAATGCACATATATGCTTTCGGGGACCATTTGCAGGGGGTCCAATTTCTCTTTTGGGCCAAAGCCAACCTTTTCACCTTTTGGTGTCCCTGATTTGGTCCACTTTTAGTAAAGGTTGCAAAAGGTGAACCTGTTATTTCTGGGTCCTTTAACTTTTGAACGAAGCTCGGATCGGCCAAAGCCAGCCGACAACTTGGAGCAATTTCCTGGTCCGATTTCATGCGCACTTGATTTGTAAAGCCTTAGACCAGGCCCCTGCTGACGCCTCTGTTGAACGGATAAGCTTTAGAGAGCTGTATCCAACCAGTGGTGCTGTTTCCATCATCCGAGCCGCTTCCCTGATATATGCATCTAGTTGCACACTATTCGTCGCGTTTCGCCCCTATTGGGATTGGGGGACCTTTGACAACCAAAGGAACAAAGGACCGGGAACAAACACACGAAGCAACTTCTTTCAGGAGATTGGCATCGTCTGGCTCCAACGAAAAAAGACCCCCCGCAAAGCTTGACTTTGCGCGGGGAAACAGCTCCAAAATAACCTGACGGTGGTCAGTTGAGTCACAATCAAAGCCCGGTACCAACATGGTCTACCCGGAACCATGTCAGGAATTAAGAAGGCGGCCGCAGCTATTTATGGTTGGGATTGTTCCCTACCAGCCTTCATCTACCCGGGTTTTGATTGTGGCAACACTAGCCAGAAGGACAAAAGGTCGGCTTTGGACAACTGAGTCCTGTTGCTCAGAATCCCTACAGGAAGCCTTACGATGATTGACCCAAAGCTCCCCGGAAAGGGTGATGACCCTTCCCTACGCACAAGCAGTGCTTTGGACCACAGCCTTATGGTTCACAGTCTTTGCACCCTGGAGCACTCACGATGCCCAGTGGCCATGGGCCAAAAGGGCGTCCTCTTTTTGTTTGAGTTTCAGGGGGAACTCTTCCCCAAAAAAGTGGAACAAGGCGCATCCTTTTCCGGTTGCTGGAAAAAGAAGAGATTTTGGGGAACTCTTCCCGAAAAGTGGGGAAGAATGATGGGGATCCCCGGCACCACTCCACCGGGCGAGAAAGGGCTCAAGCGGCTGCGGGTCAAAACCCAAGGAAAGCCCTGGTGAACATCATTTCATAGGTGGCAAATGGACGTTCATGCACCACTAACCTTCATCTACCCGGGTTTTGATTGTGGCTCAAATGCCATAGGTCCTGCAACCCATGGCCAAGCCCCGTCCTCCATGCTTGACACCACTTCAGCCCCTTCGGCCCGGGGCCAGTCTCCGAGGCTCTTCTGCCAGATGACCTTCGGGCATCGAGCGAGCTGGCGCTCGGCACTCCTTCGGGTCTAAGACGTTTTTTTCACGAACCCCGCAGAGAAAAAGAAGAGAAATCTGTACCCTGAAAAAAATCGGCTATCTTGCGGTGTTTTTTTTTGGCCCACGAAACCCCATCTTGGATCCAAGGGGCCCCAAACCCTCCGGAGTCCGGGCAAAAATTGAGGGGGGTTGGCAAGCTTCCGGACTCCCTGAGTCTTCATCTCAAGCCAAGCCCAGATGCTTGATGTGGATGGACGAAATCCACCACCTAAGAAGCCCTGGAATGATTCGATTCACTTGCAGATACACAACAAACCATGGTTTCAACCATGGTTTCCAAGTGGTGCGAAGTGGATTTCGCTTTTCCATCCACAGTAGCTTGCTCTGTCTTCCTGAGCTGGCACTCCACATGCATCCCACCTGCCATGTGGAAGGACTTTCTGTAGCCCTTTGGTGGACAGAATTTGCATGGGGGGTCCACCAAAGCGTTTTGGAGGGCGTTGCCCGTTGAAGATAATGCTTGTAGAGATTCAGCACATACTCTGAGTTGGGTCGTGATGTCACAAGAAAGTGAACCAAACGGCCAGATAGCTCCACGGTCCACTGGCTCTTCTCAGAAGCTCGAACCAAGCGGAGCTTTGGCCACATGTGACTGCAAGAGCTGAATCAAGTTCCTCAAGGAACAGTTAATGTTGATGCCTGTTTATTAACAGGATCTTTCTTCTGGGTTTAGTGGGGAATCATCAAGAGGCACACCCCCCGATTCATAAACTGGGGTTGATTTATAGGGGGTCAACATTACACCTCACGTCCTTGAGCCCAAAAGAAGCTCAAGACGCCCTCCAAAATGCCCCAAGATCTCGCTGAAAACGCGGAATGAGGAGGTTCTGTGAATGCGCACGACACCAAGGGAGATGTTGTGCTTGGACAGGGAAAGCAAGCCAGGCGAATCAAAGATAGACAAAACCACACCGGTTGCACGACACGCAGAAAAGGCCACGCCTTGTCCAGTTGCACCCGGAAGTCTTGCATGTCGCTATCCATCGCCTAGCAAAAAGCAGCTTCCAGTAAGATGCGATCCCCACGCCAACCATCAAAAAGAGCCGCAACTTGAAACAAACGGTGCAAATGCTGCGGGGGCATGACTTGCATCATATTCGCACAAAGAAATTGGCAGTCGCAACCTCCGCAACCTCTGCCAGGTGTTTAACATCCCTCAACATCCAAAAGAGCTAGTTTCAAGTTGGACTGGCCATGGTATGGACGTATCTCCAAGTTGAGGAAGATTCCAAGTGGATGGTCTTTCCTTCGATCCCTTAGAACAGCTGCAAGGTACCCTCCGAAAAAAGACCTACCCGTATCCCTGGCAGCAAAAAAATAGGCCTGTGGCGGCTCTAAGTTCTTTCACAACACGGGAAGGTGTGGGACCCCACACCGGCAACTAAGGTGACCCGTCCCATTCTCATTGGACGACCCAATGAATCATCCTCGAGCAGTCACTGAATTGATGTACCCTTCCTCCAAGCATATGCCTGGGTGCCTGGAGGATCAACCAGGAACTTTCTGCCAGGAGTGGGAAAAGCACATCTAGTGTAAGCTCGTTTGGGTTCCGAAGCCCCCATTTGGTCACAAGCACATCTCTCCCGTCTCAGTAGAGAGCTCAACCCTTTTTTGGGCGGCTTCCCTTGCGATGCCCTCAAACGGTACCGTGGTGCACCCCGTGCACCCCGTGCACCCCGAACCACCCCAGGCAGTCAGCACTTCTCTCCAGAGAAGTACAGCGAATGGGCCTAAACGAAGCAAAGGCTTGGCTCTTGAGGCTTGACCCAAAAATTGCAGGGCCCGTTTTGTTTGAGCACCACCAGAAAACATGTCCTATACATCTCTCTGCTTCATCCAAAAAACTTCCGCCGCCCGTTTTTTGTTGACGACCCCGAAGCTCCGCTCGCTGGTGCTCGGCATTTCCCATGGGCCCTCGGACCTTTGGATCCCTTTGCGCCAGCGACGCCTCCTGCTGCTGACGTTGGTGGCCCAACACTAGCTGCTGAAAGTCCTCGAAGCCCCACTTTGAGGGCTGGGAGTATGGCTGGGTGTTGTTTTGTACAAGAAACAGAGGGTGTTGGGATTGATCATGAAGTTTTGGATGGTTTTATCATACTGCCGGGCTTCTCATGGGTTTTATCCTGGATTTCCCGTGGCTTTAGGAAACCCATTGGGTTGAGCTGCAGAAAGAAATTCTGCGCCAAATCCAGCAGCCAAGTTGAGGCATCACGGCGCAAGAGGTGACCCCCGAAAAGCTAAAAACCAACGGACAGCTGATAGACGCACAACGGTGCGACTCGCCTTGTGCAATCGGCAACCACAACGGTAGGAATTGGGCTCGCAGTGGAGGGCCCCCTCAGCCATAAACTGCCCAGTCGCCGGTGCCCCTCAGCTACACAGCCAAGCTGAGGCTGAGGCTGAGTTTGCTTTCCTGCTACCCTAGACCCAAGGTTCCCCGGTGTATGAAAAACACAGGTGTTGCAAAGGAAAACCCGGTTTTCTCTCAAGCAGTTTGGGAGGGGGTATGTGCATTGGAGGCTGAGTGACTGGCCCCGTCTCTGCAAAATAGGTGTCAAAACCGTTGAGCCAGCGATCCAAACTTTTGAAGAGTCGATGGGCGGAGCAAGCAAAAGAATGCGGGGCCTCAATTCGGCAGGGTTGGCCACAGTTGACATCGAAACAAAAGAAGTGGGGGGGGGCCATCTGAGTAGGGATAGCGCTTTGTGCCTGGCAAACAAAGTTTGCGTTGGAAGAGTTACTTGCCCTTACTCACAACATTGTCGTTCAGTTCACAATTCCCACCCACAGGGGGGGTCCACAGACTACGACCCAGTGAGACAGTGAGACCCGGGAAAGAGCCATAGCAACGAGTATCTTGGTTTTTCACCCCCCGCAAAAAAACGTCGGCAGTTGAGCCCACACTCACCGAAGCCCCAAACCGATTTCCCGCATACCGCACTCTGAGAAACTCAGTTACGATACCCGCAAAAAGAACGTATTTTGCGCCCTTCGGGGGTGAAAAGGCGTGCACTGCTTTTCGTCTGCAGAATCAGAAAGGCTGTGGTTGGCTTCCTAAGCCAGCTGGCAGCCCAGCGGTTCTGTTGCGCAGAAACCAGCACCGCGCCAGGAATCGGGATTTTTTCGTTCGAGCAGTCAAAATGTGTGGCTCCGGGGGCATGGGAATCTCAGCGGTCGTCCGTCCCCTGAACCTTTGCTGAGCTTTCCACTCCTTGGTGGTGTGCCCCCCCAAAGGGTTTTTCGCTTGTTTTCCCCCTCGCTTTTCACCAAAAAGAGTTGGACAGAGTTGGCTGTGGCTCAAAAATAGGGCAACCCCAAAATGGCTTGCCCTGGTAAATGGAACCCAAACATTCAAACCCGCAGTCCGATTCCTGGCGACCAATTTTGACCCACAGCCAACTCTGTCCAACTCTTTGGGCTGGGGGTTCCAAGGGAAAAGCCAAAAGGAAACCAAGCGGGAAAAAAAAATGGGGGGGGGAGGCAAAACACCCAGGAGCGGACCAGTCGACCAGTCGACCAGTCGGTCGCCACCGAACCCGTCTCCGAACCGCTCCTTGAGCTGGTCGTGGAGGTCGCAGCTCCGCTTCTGGCACTGGCGCCAGAGCCCGGCGAACTCCTGACTGAGGCGACGACGGCACCGTTTCGCTTCGCACCTCCCCGAACTCCTCGTTTCGCGCGCACCACCGGCACAGAAACCCAATGGTTTCTGATGATTCCCACAAACAATATGGTTTCAACCATTGTCCCCTGTAAATTCCAACAAACGATCTGGTTTCAACCATGGTTTCAAAAGTGGTGCAGAATTGTGTCCAACAATAGGTGAGTCACTTGCTCAAAACCCGGCTGTGAAAATGGTCGTAATCCCAGAACCATGCTTCAAGAATTAAGAAGGCGGATTCCCGCAACTATTTGTGGTTGGGACTGCCCCTTAGTGGCTCAGTTGGCATTGGAGGTTCTCCGAGTCAGTACTAGGCAGAATTCTACACCTGAGCATTGCCATGTAAATGGTGGTGTCCCTTTATTTGGGTGGAAAAAGCCATGTTTCAAATGGTTGCAAAATGTATCCTTTCAGGAGCCCTGCTAGGCAAACCATTGGAGTTTCTCCAACATGGGGTCTGGCTGGCCATGTACTTGCACACCCACACCCAGATTTTTGAAGCCCAATAGCTTAGGCAAACACCCATTTTGAGTTTTGCCCAACTTGAAGACAAACCCACATGACTATTTACACCTATCTCTCCTGGAACATGCCAAAAAAGACAGCAATGGTCAAGGCCAACCAGGTTGGAAACAAAACCCCAAGAAACCTCGGATTGGAATACTCAAGCTGAGCAGAACCAAGAGAGCAAGAGCAAAGAAACAACCAACCGCGGATTCAGCTGGTGTCTTCTCTGGTACATGGAAGCCACTACTTGCTGGAACATGCCATTTGCTACTTCTCTTCACAACCCTTGGTATGGGAAGGAACGAGAAAAACAAATGCCAAGGAAAGAATGTTTTCGGCCAACTGCAATACTCCTGGTGTAGATAAGACAGCAAGACATAAAACAAGCAGGCTTTGTTTGCAAGGCCTGGTATGATGGCTGCGAGAGGGACAAAAACCTGCAGGTGGAATGGATGAAAACCGATTTCAATACTGGGACAATCCAAACTGGTGCAGGATGTTGTCCATCCACAGTATGGAGGTTATATACCATGTAAAGAGGGACATATACTGCTTTACAAGCTTTTGCTGGTGGCGTGGAAGCATCCATAGCGCGGACAAATAGGGGGAGAGACATCCACCCGGGTCAAGCCCCACAAACGGAAAGCCTCAGTGCGACACATTTTCGGAGCAGGAGGAGGCAAAGTTCAAAGAACACCTCCAAAACCCCAACCGCCACCTGCAAGCAGTGCACACTGCGCTTGCCTGAGTCGATCTCGAAAAAGAAGGTGTAAAAAGAGAAAAGGAATGATGAAAGATGAATCTGGAAACTAGTAAATAAGCTCAGGTGAAACCCCCACCGGCATGCGCTGCTCTTTTTAGTGCTCGCACCACCTCGCAGCCCTCACAGAACCTCGTGGAACCCTCGTGGAACCCTCGTGGAACCTTACCTGAGGGCCGCCCGGGACCACCCCGGAGCCTATCTAGGCTGAGACCCCAAAGCTTTCAGCTGTTGGGGAAAACATGCAGAAAGAAGATCTGAATTACATTGTCAAACGTAGGAACTCCAGAAATCCCTTCATTGTTTCTTCTTTATTTTGGTTGCATTGACGGGTTAAGCCTCCAAAAATCCGTCTACCCTTTGGTGTGCTCCTGATTTGCACCCTGCACTGCAAGCAAGTCCCCCACCCCACCCCCGGCCGTCCTCCAGCATGCCTTGCAGCGCTTGCCGGTGGCTGCTGCAGGCGGCAAGCACCTGCTTGCTCATTCACAGGCCGTTGAAAGTTAATCGAACCTGAAACAAAGAAATCAAGTTTGGCTCTTGGTTGTTGGTTGTTTTTTGTGTTTGGCTGTTGTTGGCTGTTGGCTGTCGGTTACAGTACTTCTGTCTGTTGGCTGTCGGTTACAGTACTTCTGTTGGCCATTGGCTGTTGGTTGTTCCCAAGACCTTCACTGAGCTTGCTTATCCCCAGAGCTCAGTATCAGCTTCAAGTTCTCTAACTGGCTGAAGGCAACCTCGCACTACAAAGATGTCGGATCACACAGGCTGGAAGCGATGGAAACTGGCTGGAGGGTTTCGGGGTTTAAGGCTTAGGCTTAGGGCCGACCCTACTCCCTTACAAATTTTAACAAGGAACTCAAACAGGGTTCCCCCCCCAAAAAAAAGAGAAAAAGAAAAGAGAGCTTTCTCTGTAAAGTTCCAGGTTCATTGGCTCGGTGTTCCACGGTAACCCGTGGAATAGCAACGTCATCCACGTTAAGTGTTGTACGTTTTGGCCTCTGCGTTTACATTAAAGTCTCCAAGGGCGTGTCATACCTTTACATGTGACGTGTGTCATCACTCACTTGACCGCCTGACACATTGCGCCCAACCCCAACAGCCGGCTCGAACCATGTGGGTCCACAAACTGCGACACGTCAACTGCGAACCGTGCAACTGGCTTTGTCGTCTTTTCTTGGGGTCACTCTTTTGGTTATGGGAAACAAGATTGTATTTGCCATGCGGAACACAGTATGGTTTTGGTCCTTGTTGGAGCCTTTGGGCTAGAAAACAGGCACGATTCGCCTAGCTTGAACTCAAGTAGCCAAAAGCCGATATTTTGCAACATGCGTCTGACTTTGAAGGCAAAAGTCCCCGGTGTTGAAAACGCCAAAACCCATCCATGTGGCTACAAAATCTGTCTCTCCAGAACAACCCTGTCGACCCCTGGTCCAAACTACGAGCTGCACCAAAAACGTTTAAGGGAAGGTGTATGCTTCAAAACAACAGGAGGCTACTGCCCCCTGGCCAAAGAGTTATTTTGTTTGCCTCCCTAAACCTGCAAAAAGTGGGAACCACTGGCGCAATCCAAAAAATTAAAGATCAAAGATCTCTGAAGCTTAAAGGTCTCACCAAAAGCACAGACATGCCAAAACGACGCCCTGGCCTCAGTCTCCACTTGTGCGAAGGAGCTTTTCACCTCCTGCAGCTCTGCACCCAAGGCCTCCTTCCTGACGGATGGATGGCTGTTTGTTCCAAAAAAAGACACGTGAAAAACACCTGGGCAACGGACTAAAACCCCAAACGGCTTTGTCAAAGCGGGGAAGACGGAAGGGCCCCTTCCCAAAAAAGACACGTGGAGAAAGCCCGGGCAACGGACTAAAACCCCAAAACGGTTTTGTCAAAGCGGGGAAGACCTGGGGCCCCTTCCGTAAAAAAGATACGTGCAGAAAACCCGGGCAGTGGAGAACCCCAAAACGGCTTGGCTTTCCTTAAAAACAAAACACGCTTGGAGAAACCTGGGGCAACGGGGAACACCCCAAAACGGCTTGATCCAAGCGGGGAAGACGGAAGGGGCCCCTTCCGTACAAAAGACGCGTGGAGAAAACGCGGGGCAACGGGGAACACCTCAAAACGGCTTGGTCAAAGCGGGGAAGATGGAAGGGGCCCCTTCAGTAAAAAGACACGTGCAGAAAACCCGGGCAACGGACTAAAACCCCAAAACGGCTTGGTCCAAGCGAGGAGACAAAGAACCCCTTCCTAAAAAAAACACGTGGAGAAAACCCGGGCCCCAAAACGGCTTGGTCCAAGCGGGGAAGACGTAAGGGGCCTCTTCCTAAAAATGACGCGTGGAGAAAACCCGGGCAATGGAGAACCCCAAAACGGCTTGGTACGGATGGGGCCCCTTCCTTTAAAAAAAAAACACGCGTGGAGAAATCTCGGGGAACGGGGAACACCTCAAAACGTCTTGGTCAAACCGGGAAAAACGGAAGGGGCCTTTTCCTAAAAAGGACGCGTGGAGAAAACCCGGCAATGAAGAACCCCAAAACGGCTTGGTCCAAGCGGCGAAGACGGATGGGGCCCCTTCCTAAAACAAAACACGCGTGGAGAAATGGGGAAAACCCGGGGCAACAGGGAACACCTCAAAACTGCTTGGTCACAGTGCGGGGAACACGGATGGGGCCCCTTCCCCATAAAAAAAAAAAAAATAAAAAAAAAAAAAAAAAAAAAAAAAAAAAAAAAAAAAAAAAAAAAAAAAAAAAAAAAACGCGTGGAGAAAACCCGGGGCAACGGGGAACACCTCAAAACGGCTTGGTCAAAGCGGGGAAGACGGATAGGGCCTCTTCCTAAAAAAGACGCGTGGAGAAAACCCGGGGCAACGGACTAAAACCTTAAAAACGGCTTGGTCCAGGCGGGGAAGACGGATGGGGCCCCTTCGTTAAATTTTAAAAACAAAAAAAAAAAAAAAACGACGCGTGCAGAAAACCCGAGGCAACGGACTAAAACCCCAAAACGGCTTGATCCAAGCGGGGAAGACGGGTGGGGCCCCTTCGTTAAAAAAAAAAAAAAACGCGTGGAAAAAACCCGGGACAACGGACTAAAACCCCAAAACGGCTTGGTCCAAGCGGGGAAGACGGAGCCCCTTCCTACAAATTCAAAGACGCGTGGAGAAAACGCGGGGCAACGGGGAACACCTCAAACGGCTTGGTCCAAGCGGGGAAGACGGATGGGGCCCCTTGGTTAAAAAAAAAAACGCGTGGAGAAAACCCGGGGCAACGGACTAAAACCCCAAAACGGCTTGGTCCAAGCGGCGAAGACGGATGGGGCCCCTTCCTACAAATTCAAAGACGCGTGGAGAAAACGTGGGGCAACGGGGAACACCTCAAACAACTTGGTCCAAGCAGGGAAGACGGATGGGGCCCCTTCGTTTAAAAAAAAAGAGAAAGAAAGACGCGTGGAGAAAACCCGGGGCAACGGACTAAAACCCCAAAACGGCTTGGTCCAAGCGGGGAAGACGGATGGGGCCCCTTCGTTTAAAAAAAAAAGACGCGTGGAGAAAACCCGGCGCAACGAACTAAAACCCCAAAACGGCTTGGTCCAAGCGGGGAAGACGGATGGGGCCCCATTAAAAAAACAAAACAAACGCATGGAGAAAACCAGGGGCAACGGACTAAAACCCCAAAACGGCTTGGTCCAAGCGGGGAAGACGGATGGGGCCCCTTTGTAAAAAAAAAAACAAAACGCGTGGACGGCTTGGTCCAAGCGGTGAAGACGGATGGGGCCCCTTCGTTTACAAAAAAAAAGACGCGTGGAGAAAATCCGGGGCAACGGACTAAAACCCCAAAACGGCTTGGTCCAAGCAGGGAAGACGGATGGGGCCCCTTCGAGAAAAAAAAAAATAGACGCGTGGAGAAAACCCGGCGCAACGAACTAAAACCCCAAAACGGCTTGGTCCAAGCGGGGAAGACGGATGGGGCCCCATTAAAAAAACAATCAAACGCATGAAGAAAACCAGGGGCAACGGACTAAAACCCCAAAACGGCTTGGTCCAAGCGGGCAAGACGGATGGGGCCCCTTCGTTTAAAAAAAAAATAAAGATGCGTGGACGGCTTGGTCCAAGCGGTGAACACGGATGCGGCCCCTTCGTTAAAAAAAAGAAGACGCGTGGACAAAACCCGGGGCAACGGACTAAAACCCCAAAACGGCTTGGTCCAAGCGGGCAAGACGGATGGGGCCCCTGCGATTAAAAAAAATAATAAAAGACGCGTGGACGGCTTGGTCCAAGCGGTGAAGACGGATGGGGCCCCTTCGTTAAAAAAAAAGACGCGTGGAGAAAACCCGGGGCAACGGACTAAAACCCCAAAACGGCTTGGTGCAAGCGGGCAAGACGGATGGGGCCCCTTCGTTTAAAAAAAATACAAGACGCGTGGACGGCTTGGTCCAAGCGGGGAAGACGGATGGGGCCCCTTCGTTTAAAAAAAAAAGACGCGTGGAGAAAACCCGGGGCAACGGACTAAAACCCCAAAACGGCTTGGTCCAAGCGGGCAAAACGGATGGGGCCCCTTCGTGTAAAAAAAATAAAAGACGCGTGGACGGCTTGGTCCAAACGGTGAAGACGGATGGGGCCCCTTCGTTAAAAAAAAAGAAAGACGCGTGGAGAAAACCCGGGGCAACGGACTAAAACCCCAAAACGGCTTGGTCCAAGCGGGCAAGACGGATGGGGCCCCTTCGTTTAAAAAAAATACAAGACGCGTGGACGGCTTGGTCCAAGCGGTGAAGACGGATGGGGCCCCTTCGTTAAAAAAAAAAAAGACGCGTGGACAAAAACCCGGGGCAACGGACTAAAACCCCAAAACGGCTTGGTCCAAACGGGGAAGACGGATGGGGCCCCTTCGTTTAAAAAAAAAAGACGCGTTGGTCCAAGCGGTGAAGACGGATGGGGCCCCTTCGTTAAAAAAAAAGAAAGACGCGTGGACAAAAACCCGGGGCAACGGACTAAAACCCCAAAACGGCTTGGTCCAAACGGGGAAGACGGATGGGGCCCCTTCGTTTAAAAAAAAAAGACGCGTGGAGAAAACCCGGGGCAACGGACTAAAACCCCAAAACGGCTTGGTCCAAGCGGGCAAAACGGATGGGGCCCCTTTGTGTAAAAAAAATAAAAGACGCGTGGACGGCTTGGTCCAAACGGTGAAGACGGATGGGGCCCCTTCGTTAAAAAAAAAGACGCGTGGAGAAAACCCGGGGCAACGGACTAAAACCCCAAAACGGCTTGGTCCAAGCGGGCAAGACGGATGGGGCCCCTTTGTTTAAAAAAAAAATACAAGACGCGTGGACGGCTTGGTCCAAGCGGTGAAGACGGATGGGGCCCCTTCGTTAAAAAAAAAGACGCGTGGAGAAAACCCGGGGCAACGGACTAAAACCCCAAAACGGCTTGGTCCAAGCGGGCAAGACGGATGGGGCCCCTTCGTTTAAAAAAAATACAAGACGCGTGGACGGCTTGGTCCAAGCGGTGAAGACGGATGGGGCCCCTTCGTTAAAAAAAAAGAAAGACGCGTGGAGAAAACCCGGGGCAACGGACTAAAACCCCAAAACGGCTTGGTCCAAGCGGGCAAGACGGATGGGGCCCCTTCCCCCCCCCAAAAAAAAAACGCGCGGAGAAAACCCGACCAGAAAACTGCTGGTTGAAATATGCAGGGATGGTTTCCCCCGTGCCTGCAAAAAGAGTTCCCTCCTTTGGCTTCAAGGGTCTGACTTGCGAAGTGCAACTGGAGGAACCTACCAAAAGATAAGGGCTGTATTAATACTTACATGAGGTAATATTACAACCATAATCAGATAGTGAAACATGTCGCGTATATGTATGTATATATGGTAGGACCCCCCCCCCCAATACCAAGGTTTTCCTGCTTTAAAATGTACATGTTGCATGTTTTTTGTATAGAAAGTCACTTGCTTGAGGAAAACCTGGAGTTGAGTTGGGGTCCTGCTAAGGATCAGAACACATGTCTTACTACAAGTGCTTGATCATCGTTATGTGTCATTGGATGAGTATAGATCACATAACTGACTGCTTTATAACTCACTGTTGGAGTTTATAAACGTCCAAGTCTGGTTTATAAACTCTTGATCGTTGGATTGGGGGGGGGAGGGGGGGGGGGGTCCGTGGCAGTTGCCGGCCCCTCCCCCCCCCTCCCCCCCCCCCCCCCCCCTTCCCCCCCCCCCCCCCTCCCCTTCAAGAGTTGCCAAGCAGGGAACCCCCCCCCTTCCCCCTCATCCAACCAGGAGTCCAAGAGTTTAGAGTTTATAAACCAGACTTGGAAGTTTATAAACTAAATTTGCGGGGAATGCTGAGCCTACACAAATTGAGACCATTTCAATGCACAATTTCAATTTGTTTAATGGACAGCTACTGGCTCGGGCAAATGCAAGCCTATCCCATTCCCGCGCTAATAACCACAATGGCCTGGTATCTCCCAATACCAAGGTTTTTTCTTTTTTTTGACTTGTGGGGCAAATGATGGATGCTTTGCAGGGCAGACGCAGAGGTGACTTCCAGCAACCAATTGGACAGTTTATGAACTCATTGCTGTTGTTTTTTGTGAATAGTACCACAGCGACATGTATGTTTGTAACATATACAAGTGGTGGCCACGTTTGGCTCAAGTCACAAGTTCTCCAACCCAGCCTATGCGCTGCTGCGATTCGTATTCCGAACTCTTGCACCAGCGTTGCAGGACAGCACAACCATTCCTGTTGGGACACAAAGCTGGTTCCCTGCGATTCTCAATTCTGCCTCTAAAATCAGAGGTTTTGCGTAGTTGGCGTGTAGAAAGGCAGGTGGGGGTGGATGGCCGCTAGTTGGAAAGCGTCACATCTACTCTGCACTTCCTCTTTCTCCACAGGACTGAAAGCGCTGCAACATAAGGTGTTGTTGATGATTTGTCACCTTCTTTACGGTAGCAGGTGTTTCGTCTTTTGAGGATTGAACAAGGCAATAAGTCCAAGACGGCTTATGTGTTCGGCTTCAAGCATGGTTTTGATTGGAAACTTTGATGTTTACACTGGTTTCGAGCACACGTAGTAAAGCAACACAATCTGTTTTTTGCAGCTTGAGCCCCATAAAATGCCAGTCAGGAACCTGAGGCCATCGGTAGGGGGGCTGATGACCGTACCAATCATTTGGCCATACATTGCGCACCAAGCAACACCCCCAAATCCATGTCCAATTGATTCCCAAATGGTTGCTATACCAAGTATGTTGACCCAACCTCATTTGAGCACGTTTGGTGAAATCCTGCCTTCATGGTTGTGTGAACCAAACCAACATTTCTGAAATGCCAAAGTGGGCCACCCGCTTCGTCGCATTTTACTGGGGATTGAACCTGGGCCTACGCCCCTTCTCAGCCCAAAAAAACAGAACCTGAAGAAGATGAAAGCTCTGAAACTTGCACAGGCCCAAAAAGAACAAAACAGACAGAAAATCCGGAATGCAAAACCTTGTCCTTACTAGATTTTATTTAACATTTCAATTGACACTTAATTACAGCAATGTTTGCAAGGGAGCTCATTTTCAAACTCTATTTTAAACCTAAGTTCTGCTTGGACTGGTTTCGTCATGAAAACACATACCACTGTTGTTTAAGCCACATTTAATCTAAATACATTTGGGAATGAGCTCCTACTTGAAATGATGTTCAGAGGCCAATTGAATAAGTGCCTTTAACTCCGATTTGGAAAGGGATTCTTTTTCAAATTCTAATGGAATATAGATTTTCACATGAACTACGGCCTTACTAATTTCCATTCAAAATGTCAATTCAATTTGAAGTAACATCTTAGTTGCAAAGGAATGCACATTTGACATTTCGGAGGCCCAAATCTCCTGATTCTAGATTGATCTGCTCAGGATCCGCTTTGATGCCCTCGAGGGGGTCTTAGCATATATATATATACATATATGTGTGTCTGTGCTGTTGCGTGCAAACCGAAGCATAGTGCAGAGATAAGTGACATAATGATATACGACAAGTCATTTTTTTGCTGAAAGAGCAGAAACATGGCAATATGACAAACATCATGTGTGATCAAAGGACAAGGCTATGATTGTAAACCCCCATGTTTCGTTAGTCATGCGCCACGGAGTTCAACAGGTGTCCCCAACATATTGTATTATGTATTGGTAGAATGCTTGTTTCACAGTAAATTGACTAGCGGACACTGTCTTGAACAAGGCACGCCAAATCGGCATGGCAAACCCCAACACAGACATTGGGTAACCCCAAGCCAACAATCCATATTTGATTCCAAAGAACTGAGCGTAGGCAACGGGTGCCATGTCCTTTCCACTATCAAAGTCACCTCCTAAGCGATAGGTTAAAAGGAAACACCACCCCAGTTAAGTTTGACTCTTTGAACTAATGACCCCAAAATCAATGGCTGCGACTGCCATCCAAAAACTGAAGCTATAGTTTTGCAGTTCACGCAAAAGCGAACACGGCAAAAAACCACATCGCAAGCTTCTTTAGCTGCAGCCGGGCGTCATCTCCGCGGTCTGGGCGCAGCTCTGAGCCAGCTCCGCCTGCCACTGGGACCGCAACTGCTCCACGGACTGCTGGCACTGATCGCTGGCGCGCTGCAGGGCGTCCTCTGGAAACGGGGTGTAGGGGGTGAGGAGCCAGGAAGCCAGGAAATTTGGGTAAGCAGCCGATGGCGTGCTCCTGTTTGTTCGTTCATTTGCTTGTTCGTTTGTTTGTTTGTTTGTTTGCTTCTTTGCTCGTTCTTGTTTGTTTCTGAAGGTTCTTGCTTGCTTGCTTGCTTCCTTACTTCCTTACTTGCTTGCTTGCTTCCTTGCTTGCTTGCTCGTGTGTTTTCGTTTGTTTCTGTAAGCCAGGCTTAAACATGAAACGATCACCGGGAAAAAGCAAGAAGAGAAGCCAACAACGCCTCCTCCTCCCAACCAAAAAGAAAAGTCAACGCGACAACGCGTCGCGCGGCGCGCGCCGCGCCGCGTGGGGCTTGTCTCGTCTCCTCCGCGGCGGCGGAGGCCATGCCCCGCGCCAGCTCCCGGGTCTGGTCCTCGTCCTCCGCGAGCCGCGCCAAGCGCGCCTCGTGGAGCTCCAGGGAGGCCTTCGGCGGATCGCCGGCGGCTGAGTCTCTGGGCTTGGTTCGGGTGGGGTGGGCTTCGCCGGAGCTCCCGGAAAATTCTTTTGGAAAGGAGAAGAGAAAAAAAAAAACGATGTTGGGAAAGGAGCCATAGTGGACTTGTTTTGGAGAAGAAAAAAACGGGCTGGACGTTCCTTTCATGGCCTCAAAACTTGGCACCTACATGGAACCAAAGAGCCCCGGCTTCGGTGGCCCGAAAATAACCATGGCACCCAAATGGCACCTTGTTACATGAAGCCAAAGACTAAACCCTGCGTAACCCTGGCTCTTGAATTTTGAGCCACATCCATGCGAGCCTCTCATTTTCTTAGAGGGTACCCAATTTGTGCGGGTTTTTTTCAAGTTCAAGAGGAAAACGGGGTCCCCTAAAATAAGACACACCCATTCGGCCATTGGGTGTGTCAAACAAATTTGGATTTGGAGCCCCAAGAACAAGGCCGGTGTCCTTTGGAATTCCCTTGAAAACCATCCAAAACGAGTTACTCCCATTTTAAGAAAGCGATTCCTTCCAGAAACCACACCAACAACCAGTAAAACGAAGACCACCTATCAAGCTGCAAACCGGTGGATCCGCTGCGGGGGCATATTTGCGTTTCTCTGCATGGGATTTGGCACCTGCGAAGGGGCTGGTTCCGATATACACCGTGGGCTCTGTCTAACCATGGAAGCGGACATGAGGAAAGCCCGAAACGTGCTGAGTAGTCAAGGTCAGCTCATGGTTCCCGAAATGTCAAAAACCTGCCCTTCTCACCAGGAAGAAGCTCGCGTTAAATCCCGAAAGATGAGAAGCGCAAGTTATTGGAAACCTGGGAAGCTGCAAGTCAGGGTCCCAAAAGGCCGTTCAGGGCTGGCCATTGGCGCTTTTTGGCAAGCTTATCCCGTACCACCATCTCCTTGTGCTTTCCCAAGCCACCACCCACTCGGCACTCCCAACCAACATCCGGTTGGCTTCATATGAACCTGGAGTCCACAAACCTGAAACGAAGGAGCCCCAGGAGCATCCATCATAGGTGGCGAAGCCCTTCATGTTTTTTGGTTGATTTTTCTTTTTGTTTTCCGTGAGGTCGCGAAGACAGCTTGCATCTCCCTTTTCTGAGACATCCATTGCTGGAATTTAGCAAGACCAGAAAAGCTCACCTCCCTTTTCGACCATCCATTTCCACCGGAAACGCCAAAGAAACCCCTCCCTTCCTCCCCCTACCCCATCCCCCGTTGCTCGTGGCTCCTCTTCCTCCCCCTACCCCATCCCCCGTTGCTCGTGGCTCCTTGGAGACTTCCTGCACCCTGAAATCCATCGTCCGTCATCACCTCTACATGAAGACTGGATCCGGGTTTGATCGAACATTCCCAGATGTCATGATGACTTTCGTATTTGGATGGGGCAAGACAAACATCCAGCAGGATTTCCGGAAGGAAGAGATGGACGCAATGAAAGATAATCAACTGGAAACCATGCGGAACGATCCTACGACTGCCATTTTCGACTATCAGGTCTCATCCGCGGAGCGTTTCAAGCACGTGAACAACGAGATGTTCATGAATGGCTCTCAAGATTCTGATTCACACAGTCCGCTGATGGTCTACATCCGCAGCAGATCTGCCACCAAGCAGCGAAACTTTGAGCAGTGGGGCAATCACAAGCAGTGGAAAGACTACGGCGACTCGACCTGGCACGACTACAGAGACTACGGCAGCCAATCCGACAGCAGCTATCGGTGGAACCGTTGACTATCTGATGAAGCTATCCATTCGACTTCCTTTGGTCTGAGTGATCCGCCAAGGAAAGAAGTTTTTCTGAAGCTCGACTGAGAGAACACCCGAAATCGGCACTACGAACTACAACCGAATTGATCCTCACCGCCAACAAGACTATTCAGTGAGAGATCAATAGTTTCACATCCGTCCCGCATGTACATAGCGTTGTACATCATCTTTTAGATACATCTAGGTATTTCACAGAATCAGTACAAACTGTTTCCCATTTTGCAAATCAAGACATTTCATCCGCGCAGAAAACAGGATGAATCCAGCATTTCAATACACATGGCTACGGCATAAATCAAGGCTACGGCCGAAGGCCAAGAAGCCAAAGATATTTCATATCTAGTGCCGGCGATCAAAAGAAATTTGTGTCTGTTTTTGTGTCTGTTTTTGACCAATGTTGATCGCCCGCAACCATTTGGCTCGAGGCCCTTCTGTACCATAGCAATACTCATGATTGCGTGACAAAGGAACCTTTGCAGGCCGCTTACAGGAGTATACGAACAAGACAATCCACCAGGGACAATCCATCCTCCAATCATCCATATTGGCATATTGGACTCTCTCCGGAATAGATCCAGGGACCGCATAAACGACCTCTACTACCACAGGGTACCAGTTCCCTTCTGGGATAGGTACCCCCGGCAGTGGGCTTCACCCCTACCCCCCCCTCCCCACCCCCCCCCGCTCGTTCCAGGCGCCTTGGCCTCCTGCGCCAGCTGCGTCAGGGACTCCACCGCCTTCTGGTTCTCCCGCTGCGCCGTCCGCGCCGTCTGCCGCATCTCCGCGGCCTCCAGGGCCCAGCGGCCCGCCGCGCTCTCCAGGCCGCCCTGCAGCTCGGACACCTCTCGGAGCAGTCGGATGGGGGGGAAGGAAGGAGATGCATGGGGGAGTGGGTGGGGGGATGCCGGGGAGGGGAGTCCCAAAAAAGGGCCAGCCAGGGGGGGTTTTGATGGGTAGATTGGCAGTTAAGCTTGGCTTCTGCAAGATCCAGGCATTCAGATCACCAAATCAATCTAAAATTAGGAGGGGGGGATGGGAGGAGTCCCAAAAAGTAGCGGCGAGCAACGAAAATACATGGAATCCACCAGTGCAAGGCATCTTTTTGGAGTTGCTTTGCCTTTTGGCCCCTTTTTTGGAAACAACAAAATAGTGGAATGTGAAAAATATGTAGGCTGCTTGTTTCCTTTGGGGTGGGTCTTGTTGGGTGACTCGTGCATAGTCCCTGCCGGACTTGACGCCAGGGGATTGTTTGGGGAAATCTTGCAAGCAAACAGCTGAACCCTGGAGCCGACGGCAAAGCCAAAGCTCTGGCCGGTGGGAAGTCCTTGTTTGAACCTTCGGAAGCGTTCCAACGACCAAAGAAATGGTTGGCATTTCAGCATGGACTTTGCTTGTAATCCAAACATGAAACTTGACACGCCGTCTTCAATTAGAGAACTTGTTTGGGGCCGACTCAGGAAACGCGGAAAAAAATGGGTTCCTTGAGGCTAAGCCATTCGTGCCTGGCCCAAGTGGTTCCGTTGATTCTTTGTGCATGAGGTGTCAGTCCGTTTCACTCTGCGCCCAACCTTGGCAACTCCTTGCTTGCTTCCTTCCTTCCAATTATTCATTCGGAGTCATGAAATCCATTTTCCGAGTCTCAAGTTGCTGGTGGCTTCTTGAAGGAGTCAGTCGCGAAGTGTCCATTTCCCACGAGTCGCAAGTTGCTGCTTCTTGAAGCCATCGCCCAAGGCTCCAAAACGGGAGCCTAGGAGGAAGCCCCCCGCCAACCATCTCCAGGCCCCGCCTGCCCGGAGAGCTCCGTGTGCCGCTGCTGGGATTCAGCCACTGCGCGTTGCCTCAGCGCAGACCGAAAGTGAAACGGATAGATCCTCCTTTGAAAGAACCGAAGAAAAAACACACAAGCATGTGTCCAGGGGGAGCCATAACCCCGAAAAGGATAGATCCCTCTCGCTTTCCCTTTGAAGGAAAGTCACACGCATGTTTCCAGTAAGAGCCATTCAAGTGTTCCGGACGCGGCGATGCAGCGACACAGCACTTCCGAAAAGCGCAATCCAGTTCAGACACCGCAGAGAAGAACTCTGGTGGTTCTGATGTATTTGGAGACCATTCATGGCAACCAGGCCCAGCCTTGTAATTGGTTTTGCCCTTGTGAAGGGCCTCAATCCAGAAATCCGGCTGAAGCCTGTGTGGGGCGCCTAAAAGTGAATAACCAGTGGGTTAAATTCGGAAACCTAGCCACCAAACCAACTAAACAGCTTAAAAAAAGAAAGAAATTGGATGGCTGGTTGAACCATCAAGTTCGTAGAGATCTCCGTGCTTCAAAAAAGATTCAACCCAGAATCGCAACCTAGAAAAGAACCGCATGGCTGGTTTGAGCCAGAGGACCCAAGGCTTGGGAGACCGACTCGCTTCGCCTCCCGAAACGACCCCAGGCGCAAGTCCCGGAGCTCCGCGTTGAAGCCCGCGTTGCTGGAGCACAGCTCCCGCACCGAGACCCGAACGTTGCGCCGGGCGCTCGCGGCGTCCGAAGGCTCCGCGGGGGGCGCCGGGTGAAACTTGGGGCCCTGGCGGACCCAACCGGCGACCGAAGGGGCGGTGAGCTCAACGTCTCAACTGGGTTGCTCATATTATATATATATAGAAATATATACTATATATATACTATATATATATATACTATATATATATATACTATATATATATGGACTATATATATGCATATATGTTGTGGTCAAACCGGCATGCAAGCGTTTAAGTTGCGATGCCTGGTGATTTACGGATCAGTCCGGCGGCATCCTCCCTTTTTCGTTAGCCACCCCTTCAGCTTCCAGCTGTCTTTCTGAAGGCCCCCCTCTTCAGATCTAACCCCACAGTTGACAAGTCCGGGGTCTCCCATCCAACTACAGTATAGCATAACCCCACCCCCCCACCCACGCAGCCACCCAGCTGCCGCATCTTCTTGGAGAATCTTCCAATCTCAACACCCAAACCTCTCCGGCACCCCCCCGCCCCAGAGGAAACGAAGCAACAAGGCGAAGACGCTCCAATGCCCACCTGCCCCGCCAGGCTCTGCATCAGGCCCTGCTGGATCTGTGCCACCCGCAGCTCCTGTGTCTTCAGCCCTGCCGAGGCCGCTAGCTCCTAGCTTGCGGGCAGGGAGACCCTGGCCAGACCTGTCCAGTGAAAGTAGGGCTTACGGCCTAGATGGGTCATCTTTTTTGTCTCAGGGACCCCCTAAGATGTCTTCGGTCTTTTTTCCTTTCGGTTTCCTTTTCGTTCAAGTCTACCAAAACAGGGGCTCAAAAAGACCACAGCCTTTGGAAGGTTCTCAACCTCGGGGTCGACCGGTCGAGGCCCACTTTTGGCGTCCAAAAGGGGCCCCTGATTGTGAGAGACCCTTGGGTGTAGCTTTGCAGTCAAAGACCATGCCTTGAACATGTTGCTTCTTTTAACACACCGTGCATCACCACAGGAAAGTTTCGGGCGGCTGGAAAGGGAAATCCAAGGGACGCCTTCCCGGGCTTCTCCAATTCAGAGACCCCATTTGTCAGAAGTCCATGGACAAACGGAAGGGTGCAGTCCGGGCATGATGCGAATGCGGATGCTGATGCTGGAGATGCTGCAAATATGCTGCAATTCGGGCATCCTCTGGCTCCCGCGTGTTATCTCAAGGTACTCCGCTGCATGAATCATGACCTTGGATGACCCTGGACCTAGGAAAAGACAATGACCAGGACCCAAGAGGCTGCAAAGTCGCCAGAGAAGACCGCAATCAACCTGCACTCCTGGTTTGACCTGGGGTTGGCGCGTCACTTAGTCGTCTCGGAGTTCAGAAATGAAGGTGCATGCCCATGGATCGCTGACACTACATAATGTGTCGTGGAAGGTGTCGCCATTAAGTACTGCTGCTGTTGGCGCCAAAACAATCTGCTATGCTGTCTATAAAGCAAAAGTCTTCCAAACAATAGCCACCCATCCACCCCACAATCGCAGAGCTTGGTATGCTTGGGAAAGTTGATGTTCCGGTTCTTCACCGGATACCAGCACCAGGCTTCCTTGACCACCATCCTGCTGTACGTTGTTGAGGGCAGGCAGGAAACTATGAAGCAAAAACATGTAGGAACGAGAATAAACACTTATCAAGGGTGATAGTATGATCAGCGAAGCACCGTCTCTCGCGGAAGATGAGCTTCGAGTGAAAACCATGTCAAGATGGCCATGGAGCAAAAGCCCGTACCCCCAGTGAACATCCCAATCCCCACTGCAATAGACTAAAATGGGTGATGCACCTACCCCAACATGGTACCATTGGTTTTGACCCACAGCCAAATCCGTTTAGCGTCTCTCCTTTTTTGCGCGGGCGGCAAGTCGTAGCTTCATCCACCTCATGTTGACGTTTGCCATCCAGAAGCAGCAGCACCAGTGCCATCAAGATGCCGACACATCCCAGGCCGTTCCATCCCGGCATCTCCAAACCCTCCACCTCCCATCCTACGATCAGCAGCACACTCAGCACCGTACTGGTGAAGGGCTGGAGGGCAGTGTAGGCCAAGACGTAGCCAGGCCTGGCGTAGCTGTTGGCCCAAGTGATCAGCAAGTAAGACCCGATGCTGTTCCCCAAGATAAAGTACGTCAAGGGCAGCAATGCACTGCCCGGCACGTGCCAAGGCAAACAAGAGGCTTTCCAGCTGCCGCATGTAAAGTCGTGCTCGTTCCCCTCAGGCGGGCAAACAAAGGAAAGAACCGCGCAGTTGTTGTTCAGGCTCCCGGCCAAAACCGCCATCATCAAGCTGGCGGCCATCATGCCCCAAGCCGTCACCGTTAGAGTGGGATAGCGCCGCAAGGCGACCTTGGCGAAGATCACATACAAGGAGGTGCCCAAACAGTTCAGTGCCAGGAAGATGTTGCCGATGGCGCCAGCGTCACCAGTTTGGTGACCATAGACCACCAGAAAGGCTCCGCTGAAAAAGGACAAAAGGATCCCGCTGACTTTGCGCCAGGTGGGTGGCTCCCATCCCAAGGCCAAGCTGATCGTCAAGGTGAAGATGGGCTGGGAGCACTGCCATGCGCTCCCGATGACGGGCCCCGCAAGCTTGATCCCCAGGATCGCAAAGGCTTGGCCCGAAAACACGCAGAGGCCAAGGGCCGCCAACAACTTCCAGTCGCCGGGTTGAAGGCAGCCATCATGACACAGGGCCATGACCAGCAGCACGGGTCCGGACACACCTTCGCGGAGCAATGCGAAGAGCAGCGGGTTGAACCGCTCGACGCCCAACTTGCCTACCACGGAGGCAGCACCAAAAATCACCTGCGCCAAGATCAAGGCACCATGCACCCGAAAGGGCGAAGGATGGTCCTTGTGGGTTTCTTCACGCAGGCAATCCTCTCCATCGTCCCTTGCTTCGCCATCGCTCAGTTCGGTGATTTCCTCCAGGGCTACGTGACGGACACCCACAGTCGTTGCCAGTGACATGGTGACTTGAGCCGAAACAAATGGTGTGCACAAGATGAAACATCGGGATTCACCTGGTGATACATTGCAAGGTAGAAGCATGTAAACAAACCATCTCCCAACATTGGCCCTGCGCACGGCCCAAGGCAACTGTAAATGTAACTGTAGATCAGGAGGGAGGCACATGGAGGCAGAGCAACAAATTATGGCCTTGAACTCCAAATGGTGCTGCACCTCCATATCCCCAATGGATTTCAATCCATTGAGTTGCGAGCCTTCCGACTGCCAAACAAGTGGAATTAATCCAAGGGGCATGCAGTTTAAATACATGGCATCTCAGGCCTGTTTTTCTCCGCCTGCAAGCCTCCCGCATACGTCCACCAGTCCACTGCATGGAGAACAGGCAAAACCCATTGTTTTACTTCATACCGGGCCCCATCTGCCTGCGTTAAATTAATAGTGATCATAATAATAATAATAATAATAATAATAATAATAATAATAATAATGATAATGATAATAATAATAATAATAACAATAAGAATTAATAATAATAATAATAATAATAATAATAATAACAATAATAATAATAATAATAATAATAATAATAATAATAAATATAAATAAATAATAATAATAATAATAATACTAATAATAATAAGGATAATAGTAATAATAATACTAATAATAACAATAATAATAATAAGGATAATAATAATAATAAGGATAATAATAATAATAGTAGTAAATGTATAATACAAATATATATATATATATGGTACCCCCCCCCCCCATGGACCCTGGTTTGGTGCGGTTGACCTGTATTTTCCAGTGTTTTATGCTTCTTTTTGCTTCTTGGATTTGTGTCAAAATTCGGGGGAGGGTCGTACATGTATATGATACGCATGCATGCATACAGATGTGATAAAAGCAATGACATCAGCACCTGCAATCTGAAAGAGTTTGAATGCATCCACAAATGCAAGAACAACTCAGACATTTTTAAAAAAATATTAAAAATTATGGGATTCAAGATTCAAGATTCAAGAATCTGAGAAAATATTTTCTGGGAATCTTGAATCTTGAATCTTGAATCCCATAATTTTTAAAAATTATTAAAAATTATGGGATTCAAGATTCAAGATTCAAGAATCTGAGAAAATATTTTCTGGGAATCTTGAATCTTGAATCTTGAATCCCATAATTTTTAAAAATTATTAAAAATTATGGATTCAAGATTCAAGAATCTGAGAAAATATTTTCTGGGAATCTTGAATCTTGAATCCCATAATTTTTAAAAAGTTTTAAAAATTCCAGGGTTGTCCCAATACTCTCGGTGTTCAATAAGATTCTCGGAAAAGTTTTCCGTGAAATAGTTCAATCCAGTGGTAACGGATGTTCGAGGTGATAGAACAACTTGAACATTTTAGGGCTTGACCAGGATGGATGATTCTCAGGAAAGTGGTGGTTTGTGGGCTCCTCAATATTGAATCCCCAATCCAGTGGTAAAGCACTTTCAAGTGTTAGAAGAACTTGAATGCTATTTGGGTTTGGCCAGGATTGACAATTCTCAGGAAAGTGTTCTGTGTAATCTTCAATATTGAATCTTCCATCCGATAGTAGCAAATTTTCAAGTGCTTAGCGATCCGGTGGACAATTGGTTAGACAAACTTTCAAGTGCTTTTGGTGAGCTTCATGTCAGCTATGCTCATGTTGACCCCTTTCTAGGAGGTAAACAAAGGCAGGTGCAACGCTCAAAAATACTGCATTTTCCGGTATTTTATGAGGAGGCGCAGGATCATTGGGGGTACTATATATGTGTGTATGTATGTGTATATATAGATATACCTATGTATGTACGTTCACACACCGTCCCCCACCCTCTTCAACTACCTGTCCACATTTGCTCATCTACTACCTCCACCTTTTGACATAGAATTAACTTTCCTGCGCAAATAGGACTTTAAATACAACGGTTTAGCTAGAATCCCTGTTTCGAGATAGTTTTAGATGTTGAACCTCTCTTCCCTTGAAATTTCCCTTTGGAACACCGTCTAACAAGTTCAATGTCGGACCTTTCTTATGCTACAAAAGGGCCAGAATGTAAACAACACAAATCCTATTTTTAATTTCCAAATGTTTAGCCATATTTAATATGAACTATATTTGAGATGTAGTCTCTATTCACTTGATATTATCAAACACAAATTGAGTTGTGTTCGTCTTAGATTATACTTACCACTTGGATTATATTTGGGAAAACACTTACATCTAACTTCTTGTGTTATAGATTAGTTGGAGTTTAGCCGAAAATATATATATATTTACATTTTCATGTAGCTGCTATTTGGAAAGGATTTGCTTATTTAAGCTGTAATTGAACATAAACACATTTTTGAAAACTATATCCATACTAAACTATATTCAAAATTCCAATTCTAGTTGAAGTAACATCTTATGTGCAAAGGGTATCATACTGGGACATTGTGGAGGACTCCGGGCTCCAAATTATCACGCTTTGGGGACCCACAATTGGAAATTTCGAGAATATAAATTTGGAAATTCTAGATTTGCCATCCCCAAAAGGCAGTAAAACCAGGGTCCATGGGGGGGGGGGTTGCATATATATATATATATACTTGTCAAGAAAAGAAGACCTCCGATGCATCGTCCTGCACTGCTTGTGCCAGGTCAACCAGTTGTTGCATCGCCGGCGCCGGCACCGTTGCCATGGCTGCAAGCCAATGGGAAGGGAAGGGAGTAGAATTCCCAAGGAGTTGCTAGAGAGCAGCAAGAAAAGAAATGGGCGCTGCAAGCGGGGAGCAGATTTCTCAAACTTGGAAGCAGGGCAACTCCAAAGCTGCTCAATGGGAGAGGTCGATATCTCCCAAAAAAATGTGTGCACTTGCCGTTTCTTGATGCTACCCGAGCTGGATTCACCCAAAGATGTGCTCCAAAGGCTTTCTCGTGACTGAAACCACGAACTTTGAGCGCGCCATCAAAACGAAACAGACGGGGCGCGGGTTCCCATGGACTTCGCGTCTCGGCCGCCGTTCGCGGCTCGGCGCGGCGGCTGCTTTGGGCCGCCCTGCAGCCAAGAGACAAATGAGCGGCTTGGTGCCACCTGTTCCGCAAGCCCTCGAAGCGAATCATCCAAATCTGGAAACCAGAATTGTCCACCGGGTTCGGCAGCTGCATTCACATGATGGGTCAAAAATAGGCACCCAAATCGAAATTTTGGACATGGAAAGGATCAATTCCTGTGGTCCCCTGGTTTAACTTGACTCACACCCAAGCCGGACGCATCCAGCCACCTTTTCTGGAACATGGCCTTAGGGATCCAAGGGGGCCCTTCAGCTACAAGCCCTGAGTTGGGGGCAGAAGAGGTTGGGCACGTGACAAGCGGGTTCCACTGGCACGACGCAAATGCTGTCTCACGTTCCTTGGTTGCGGGGAAATGTTGCACATCAAGGGCCCGCGCAAGGCTTTGCCATTTGGGCAAGCTATCGCGACCTCAAAAAACGGTGGCTTGCAACTTCGCTAAACAGAAACTATAACTGGTTAGATTTGATCACTCTCTTAGCCAAGAACACATGGCGCATTTCGGCATGTTCTTTGAAGTGGAGGTCAAGCAATGCGCTTTGGGCAAGTGAGCCGATAGTGTGCCCGCTTGCTTCGAGCTTTGGACCCGTGATTGTCAGAGCTGCGGTCAGCAGTTTGCTAGTGCTGAAAGCACAGGAACCGGGCGAGGGTTCCAACACCTGGCATACGGCCCGCGTGCCATGTGTTCAGACTGAGAATTCAGCACAAGTTCACCCTGACAAACAAAGAAGGCAACTTGCAGAGTTTGCAAGTTGAAAATGGGAGGTGAGCCCCAAATGCATGGCCTTCGGATCAACCAACTGAAGCGCTGAAGTGCTGTGATCAAAGGTTGGAGGCCAGCTCAAAACAAAGTCCCCCACAGAACACTGGCTTACTGAGTTGACTGGGGAGTACACAAGCACTCGCGCCTTTGTCCTTTCGGGGAAATCCACACAAACCACTGTTCTTGCTGATAAGTTCTGCCATTTGAAACATAGCTTTGACATCACCTGCTCCAAAGGCATGCCCCATACAACCTATCCCAAAGATCGCGTTTTCAAGCTACGTCTAGAGGTAACCATGGCCCAAGCGCACTCACCCTTTTTAGACCTCATAGCTCGCGCGACAGCCGCTGATTGCTCCGGAGCACGCGGGACCCAGCTTGGGCACTTGCATGTGCCCTTGCATGTGCCGCCCCTTAGACGTGAAAACCAAGCTACGGATGATTCGCAACGTTGCAGGAAGACCAAACAATTGGCACCAATCACTTCACAATCTGCTTCCAAGCCAATGTTCATAGAAGGAAACCAGGGTCGCAGCGCATCGCCCGTGGTGAAAAAGAACGGATCACCAGAGAGAAAAGAGAAGGAAACCAAGCGGGTAAGATCGCCAACCTCTATGCGCTCAGTATCGCTTGTACTTTGCCCTGTCCGATTTGTTCAGGTCCTTCTCCAAAACTGCCATCTTCTTCTTCATCTCCTAGAGACGACCCTAGGCTGACCGCCAGAAAGAGCGAGAGAGAGAGAGAGAGAGAGAGAGAGAGAGAGAGAGAGAGAGAGAGAGAGAGAGAGAGAGAGAGAGAGAGAGAGAGAGAGAGAGACCGCCTACAGCCTCACGGAACTCCGCCGGAGTTCCATGGTCCTTGTTGACGGTTCACATGTGACTTGGGCAGAAGGCGACCCTACCAAGGCTGCCCCCAACCCTTCCTGTTCAAGGGTCCAAAAAGCAACCACTGTTGATCGCTCAAGGCACGAACATAGGCCAGGAACCACTTGGAGTATGCGTCAAAAGAGTTGATTCGGGCGAGCTATGCCCCAAAAGCCAGTGGCCAGCACCAGGGCCATCCTTTGGCTCAAGCGAGCTTCATGGGAAGGGTACAAACCTCAAGACACTCTGCCGGGAGACATCGGTGTAGAGGATGCCGAGAAAGATATGCTAGAGCCGCAAGACACTCTGCCGGGATCCCCGCGAATTCCGGGAGACGCCGAATTCGGTATCAGACCCGCCAGCCTTTTGGGAGTCAGACAAAATCTGGCCAAAGTGCCAAGTGAGTTGCTTTGTGATTCGTCTCCCCAAGCACCCACGAGTCTCATGCCTGTTTTTTGCTTTTTTTCTCTTGGGTAGCGGAGAGTAGGTGCTTCTTGCAGGGCCCCATATCCATAGACCCCTCCCCACCACCCCATAGAGGCGGGCGCGCCTCTTCCTTCCTGGCTTCGACCATGGCCTGCTTCTTCAATCTCGCCTCGCGACACATGCGGTGTACCTTCCCCAATGAACTGCCTACATCCACATCGGCCAGACTGCCTCCGGCAACCCCATGGAAAAGGTCGCCAAAGCTTGGCTAAGTTAGCTCGTGTCATCTTGTCCACGGGAGCTTGATTCCGGCACAGGTGCTTCTTGTATTGGGAACAGTTGATGCAAAGTGGTCATTCAGCTGCTTCCGTGCTGCGTAGCTCGTGCCAAAGGCTGCGCGTGCTTGGAGGGCAGCTTATCGCAAGGCAGAACGTATGTCATTGAACTCGCCGAAACTCATCTCGAAACCACGTCGAAGCATTTCCCTCTATGACATGTTGAATATACAGGTATTCAACCCAAACAAAAGCGCAGCGGATACGCCAGCCACACATGAAGAAAGATCGGCTGATCTTGATTTGTTCAGCTGCGACACAGCTACAGATTAACGTACAACCAAGAAAAGACACGTTAAATGTTTGAGGAACATGAATAACCCCCCCCCAAAAAACAAAAAAAGAACCTTTGATTTGGGAACCTCCTTCTTGTTTTCTCTGCCCTCACCAGCTGTGGGAATGCCACTAGGCCTCTGCCCAGGACGATGCCTTTTTTTGCCATCAACCACTTCTTGAGCTTACCTCCAATTCTCGGTTGCTTTCTGCTCCCCTGCTAAACGTTTAACTTTTAGTGGTTTAATGGAAAACCCATTAGTCAGCAAAAAGTTAAGGTCCTAACATCCAAACAAAATGCACCGAAAAAATGGTGGTTTGGATTTGTGGTTTGGAGGTGGAAAGGAGGGGGGGGGTTTCCCATGCACCATCTACAAAAGCCACAAGCTTCGGTTTCCCAAACCGCCCAAGGCGAGAGCAACACGCTCTTTGCCAAAACGATACTCAATGCTTTCTGATTGCAGACCCCATAAACACCGAGCTTAACACAAAGCGTACAGAAGCCTTTGTAGCCAATTTGATTGAAGACACCTTTCCCGTGAAACCCTCCGCCACGGCCCAAGAACCTTCAGAAAAAAAACTTGGAGATCCTCTTTGCGGTGCGGAAATCTTCCACTTTCCTTTGCCTGGCCTTCTCCTTCTCTTTGGCTAGGAGCTGCTTTGCTTCTTCCGCCCTGAGATTTCCCGAATTCAGTCAGCTTCCCTCGAAAATGGTGGTTTGGGAGGGTCTGGTTTCACAATCCGAATCCAAAGCACCAATACAAACCACCAATTAAGGGTAACCTGACTAATGGCCGAACAAACTGTGAAAAAAACCTTCAGGAGCCGGGGTCCGGAAGTCGCAACCACTCAGGCAGCTGAGCGGCTCATGAAAATAGCAGAAGGGTTCCACTGACACGAACCGGAATCAGGGATCCTCAATCCGAGCCACGACTTCTCGAAACACGCATACATGCCTTCAACTACAAGCCAAACAACCCAGCTAAGTTTGGTGAAAATTGAACTGGGCTGTGCTGAGATCCCCTGCTTAAGGTTAAACTTTTGATGGGAAACGGCCATTAAACCCGGAAAAAAAAAAAAAAAAAAACGGAACGGGATGAACGCGTTCATGTCGTCTGCTTTTCCCCGTCCAGCAGGTTTATTTCTCAAAGAGCAGCACCCAGAGAAAAGGGCTCCAAGACGGTTGTGGCGCATATGGGATCTCAAAACTCGGGACCCCCCGAAAATGATTGGTGTCTTTTTACCTTCCCTTTAAAACCAACCAAAAAGGGGTTGCCAAATACCTATACATACATATATATATATATACAGAGATATAAGCCTTGCTACAATTCTGGTAGTAGAACCTGGAAAATCATCAAGACTTTGGTCTTGCAAATGCTGCGCTCATGTCGATATCAACGGGCCCTCCCCACTAGACCCAGGACATTTCGTGCAGACTCCTTCTAAACATGGTTGCTGCATCAGAAAGTGTCTGGGACACAATGTTGGGCGTGCCACTGAGACAGTATTGAGAAAGCTTTGAAGCAAAGCATGGAACCACGTCATGGAGCAGGCTGTTTAATCTCTCTCACATAGCTTGGAACTACACAAGCGGCTTGGGCTTGCACAACTTGCTTGGCGTTTCTCTGCAAGCTTCTTTGAGCTATAGTTAAGTCATTTGAGGGGTAACTAGGGGTGTTTAGGGAGCATCGTGAATCCGTGAACAAGGTGCGGCAGGCAGTAACCGCTGTATCCGGGGGTGCTTGCCAGCCAAGACACAAAATCATCAGCCAAATGAGTTGTGGCGTCATTTACGCAAGTCAATTCTCATGTCTGTTGGTCAAAACCCCACTTACTGGATCACACCCAGGCTCTCACTCTCAGGATCCCTGAAGGTCAAGCAAATATCTTGTCTCCAGCCACAAAACCAAGTAAACGCTCAACAAACGCTCAAACCCTGAGTGTGGCTTGCGAGCGACCATGTAGCGCATGATCCAAATGCTGGGCTCGCCGCTTGTTGATCTTCTTCACCTCCTTAGCCTCGCCCTCGCCTTCACCTTCCTCGCCTTCTTCCGCTTTCTTCACAGCCAGGGCCGCCTAGCGATGGGAATCTCCCGGCTGGAATCCATCCTGCTAAATTCATGGTTGATATGGCAATCCCGAAGCCCAAAAAGGGTGTGTTGATGGATACCCCGCATGGACACCAGAAGCCGAAATGGGGCCACGCGCTCCTTGAGTGCGACTTGTCGCCAACGAGCTGCAGGACGAGGATTCGAACGTCGGCCCAATGCAAATGACAACAGGTAGCTGGACACTAGAGTAGAATCTGCTGCCCGTTTCAATGTATCCGCACATGAGGAAACAAAATCACCAGGGTACCAGTTTTGGGTGATTCCCTATCTCGCGTCCTGAGTGCCGGAGAGAAAAAAAAAGGCCAAGATAAGAATACGCCCAGAGAGTCTTTCTTTAAAGTCCAGGAACTGAAGTGAGGTCTCGGCTTCTGCTATTTGTGTGGCTTCATATCCTCGGGTCTGACTCCGGCGCCTTCTCAGCTGCGGTCTTGGCGAGCCGGTCCAAGGTCTCCTCGGGAAGCCGAGCCGAGCCCTCCGCTTGCAGAGCCGGACGAACGACAAGGGAATCGAATCATTCCAGGGTGTCTTAGGTGGTGCGAAATGGATTTCGTCCATTCACAGCAGGGTAACCTCAAAAAGGGGTTGCCCTGATAAATGGAAAGGACTAAAAACTGCGGTTCATGGCCTGGTGGTTTAATTTCGACCCATACCCATACGTGTGGCTCGTCTCCATTTGGGGGGCCCAACCAAGGAAAAGACACGCCCATATCAGACCAAATCCCCAGATGCTCGCATCTCGTGGCCTCAACTCAGACATTGCATCCATGCCCCCCTCAAAACCCAAAGACCCGAAGCCCCAGTGACCGGCGGCCTTCTTCTCTCGGCTGCGTGAGCGCTCGCGTTCCTCCTTCTTCTTAGGGTCCTCTTCCTGGCCCCAAAAGCCACTCGAAAAGGCGCCGACTGTTCAGATTTGTTCAGTACAATCCTGAAGGCCACCAAGGAACCTGAAAAAAGCATCGTTGTAGAGGCACATCTGTTTGGGGTTCCAAGCTCATTTGCAGTGTTTTTAGTTAAACAAGTGGGCAAGGGGTCAAAATTAAACCACCAGGATATGGACCGCAGGTTTTAGCCCATGCTTCGAAGAAAGAAAAAAAGCAGGTTCCATTTTGGTGTTACCCTGTTGTTTGACCCACGGCCCAATACCGCGAGAGAAGTGCATTCTCCCGGACCGGGACCGGCCTCGACAGCTCCGTCAGGCACCTTGGCTCTGCCGCCCAGCCTGCAAGAAGGGAGGCGGGGGTGAAGCGAAGCAGCCCAGGCCCACAAACAGCCTAAAGTACAAAGGACAAAATGGCCATGGGCTTTTCAAAATCCAAATCGGTTAGCCTTCCGGTGAACACCCAATCCAACCGCTAAAATTGGTTCTAGAATGGGTGACTTCACCTACCCCATGGGATACCAAAAACGGTCTTGGCAACAGCCAACTCATGGCACTCTGCCATTGCACGAGCCAAATCCGAAAATTCTTCGAGACCTATCCCTGGAACGGCAGCTGGCCTCCAGGCTTCAGCCACAGACCTCGCTTTGGCAGCTTCCTCCTGGCGCTTGCGTCTGTGACGGTCAAGCCCAGAGAAACGGGGGGCTTTGGCTTCGGAACATGCTGGAGCCATCTATTTTTACCGAAAGAATCCGTGCCCAAACTATGGGAACTCGGTTGCCCCGTGTGAACCTGTCAACCCCCCCTTTTGCCCGAGGCAAAAGAGCCCGAGGCTCATCTTGGATGCAATTCTTGGTCGGCTGATGGATCCGCAAGAACCAAGCGGCCTTCTCCAGTTTTGGTTGGTGAAAAACATGCGTTGCTTCCTACTGGTCAAGAGGAAAGCTTGATCAGAGCTTTCTGAACTGCGCAGCACCACGATTCACGGCAAATGGCTTGCTTGACAAAGACAAAGGGCTAGAGTCTATAGCTTGAAGCCAGCGTGGGCCATTTCAGGGGGCATCTGATACCGAAGTCCCCAGGTTTTCCACCATATCCTTTGGCAGGTGCCAGGCTGTTGCTCAGCTCGGAGACATGCATCCGAACTCACAACTCTGTATGGCTGTGGGTCAAAAATGCGTACCAAAGACTCAAACCTGCGGTCCATTTCCCGGTGGTTTTGCTTTGACCCATACCCATATTCCTCTTCCAGAACATCCACGCTCAGGGGTCGGCACCCTCTTTGACCTTTTTTGCGCTGCTCCTCAAAAAAAGAGATGCACACAAAAACGCGAATCTTCAGGCACGCCGGCCACCAAAAAAAAAACACCCCGGCCAGCAACCCCAAAAGCGAATGCCATGCGGCTGTGGGTCAAAAATAGGGTAACCCCAAAATGGCGCAAGCCCTGGTAAATTTTGATACGTGGACGAGAAAACCAGCGGTCCACATCCTGGTTTCATTTTGACCCATACCCAAAGCCCATCCCAATCCCATCCCAGGCCCCTCCCAAGCCCGTCGCTCTCGTGCATGGATCGCGTCTCCTCCTCCCGGAGCCGCCGCGCTTCGGAGCGGCTGAGCTTCGGGCCCCCGGCGATCTCCACGGTGCCCGGCGCCACCGCCGGCGGCTGCATCATGGCGTCCGGCGAAGCGACGGCGGGAAGGAGGCGGCGAGAAGGAAGCGGCGGGAAGGAAAAACCCGAGAAATCGGGGCTCCCAAAAGTTGTTGGGAGGGAGTTGGATTTCTGGCACCTGCATGAGATGTTGGCGAATGGCCTCCCTTTTTTGTTGGCCAGCTGGTGGAAGAGGTCTGGATGCGGAGAATGCACCAGATTGTGCACCTGGAATACCGATGGATGGGCAAGTGGACCTCAGACAAAAGGCCTTGCTATGCTGGCCTCGAATCACGTGACTGTAGACTCGCTTGAGCCGTGCTTCCATCACCAGCGAAGGCCGATGTTCTCTGGCCAAATATGGCAAGCGCACTTCTTCAATGGCATACGGACTGTTGCATGAGTGGCATTTTGGTTAGTTGACGCGGCGTGTCTCTCTTGTTTCCACCCTCAAGCAAGACGGTCAAAAACAAAACATGCTGCCACTGACAAGAAAATGCCGCGCTGTCAAACATGCTCAGCCAGTACCATTACAAGCACCATGTGTTCTCTCGGCATGCCAAGCGACACCAGCAACAACTAACAACTGTGGCTGATGCGTGCGGATCGTGCTGGGTGACCAGTCGCTCTGTTTTGAGATGTCAACATCAAGAGGCCGGCGGAATAGGGTGACCCTAAAATTGGTAGAGGCTTGACCCGTCCCCTTGCATGGGCACGGGAATCGGGGAAGCCAATCCCATATTGATTTTTGCGAAGGGAAGAAGTGCCGTCGTCTTGTCGTCGCAGATTCATTCCCCGAGGTCCGTGAAAACCCGAGGTTGCTTTCACAAGTTGGAATCCCATATTTAACCTGTGGAATCCCCCCGAGTCCCCAGGAAGTTCTCTTCGCGTAAGGCGGTAAATGACTGTTACAGCCCCAGGCTTCTGCACCTTCGCGTTTCTGGGACTGGTACACTTCATCTTTGTTGTTTTAACGCCAACTTTGCTTGTTCTTACATTGAAATATCATATCTTTAATTTGCTTATTTAAAAAAAAAAAAAAAAAAAAAAAAAAAAAACGAAAATAATAATAATAATAATAATAATGATAATAATAAAAAGCAGCAAGACTTGGTGGAGCCGGAACATGCGCCAAAGGCAGCGCCGTTAACCCACCTTTTCGCAACCCTTCCTTTCCGCGTGCAGTGAGACCCGTCCCAAACCTCAAGGTGTTGGGACGCGGATTCTCCCCGATCGGGCGAAGAGCATCCCTAATGAGCGTCACAGCGAGCAAAAGGTGCTGGTTCAAGCCCACGTCTCAAGCCCAGGTGGTTGTTTGATCCGCGCAGGGTTAAAAACATGAAAGGCAATCAGTCCGAAGTGTGATGCCTTAGGCAAGGCAGCCTTGAATTTTTGCAAGTAGATAGGAAGGACTTTTCAAAGTAGCTAATCAGCCCAATTGCCCTGAAAATGTATGAAAAGTCGCTGAGGCATCGGAAAAGCGCTTCGAGGACGACCTTCGCATCGAGTGGGCCAGGCTGAGCCAGGCCGAAAGACCTTTGAAAGGTCTGGGAAAGCTAGCAGAGAGGGGATCTGCCTCTCTAACATTTGCCACAGGCTGAAGCCAGGGTTGAGCCAGCTGCAGATCTGAGATCTGAGAAGAATCGATCTGAACACTCAGGCATTCCACTGATGCAAAGGACCACAAAATGGTCAGTCGACCAAAAGATTACAAAGATTGAATAGTACACACACGTGTGTATGTATAAATATATCTATACATACATACTTACATACACATTTGTACGAATATAATTTTAAACAATGGGCGTTACATGTGTGTAGATATATATATTTTTTAATGTACGTTGTGCAATCACAAGTATGCATTTGGTTCTCCCACCTCAATACCACGGCGTGCCATATGACTGATGGAAAGCCCTGAGCTTGAGTTTCAGACCCCTCAGCGAGAAATTGCTGCACAGCTCACCAAAAGATGTCCCGAAGGCATGGCGAGGTGGCCTTCCTTATGTTTCGTTTTAGATGTCACACTGCCCCCTAAGAGCCGGCATGCCTCTCCGCTGAACAGGTGTTGAACTCTTGCGGTCATTTGTCCAACTTCATGGTCCATGGAGCCTCTGCAGTATGCTGCTCTTGTCACAAGTGTAGCACTTCTCAACAACTCTGTCCAATTTTGGTCTGGCTAGAAGAGCCTGTACTTGCAGCTTATCAAGCATATACAACAAATCCTGAAAAAAGTGGCTAAAATGCAGAGAAGCGAAGCACCAAGGCGGGGGTGGCGTACCATGTGTATATATATATATATATATATTATATATATATATATTATATATATATGTATAGAAAGAGATAGAGAGAGGGGTGGGTATGGGTCAAAATTAAACCACCAGGCCGCAGGCTTTAGTCCTTGAGTCCATTTACGAGGGCAACCCATTTTGGTGCAAACCTATTATTTGACCCACATCCAGATGCATAGTTATATGTTCCTAGCATATCTTGAGCCGGCCCAACATCCCGTAGTCTGAGCAATCTCATCTTCTGGCTTTGGCTGGGGAGTTTCCGGCCTTGCCGGTAAACAGCCAGTGGGCCCTGGCGCAGTGGTGCGGGAGGGAAGAACACCGGAGGGGTCCACTAGGGAAGCTGAAGCGAAGTGGGGAAAAAACGGCCCTTCCAAGCTGGCGGTGTCTTTCTTGTTCACTTGCTACCCTGGTGTCGTTCAAAGAGGAAACCAAGCAGAAGCCAAGAGCTTGGGTGTTTCCTTGCGCCAAATGTCGTGCCTAGCTAATGTGGCCATGTTCGTTCATGGAGGAGTGGTCCGCGGATTCGGCGACTCAAAAGCCCGGATTGGTAACTGACATTGGAGTTCCTCTTAGAATTCCTCAATACCTTCAGTGCAGTGTCGTGTTGCATGACTGGGAGCTTGCAACATGCAACAGAATTGATGCACCGCAGAGATGTCACCCGATGGGAGGAAGCATAAAAAGGTCCCCGCCGCCCACCACAATTGTTGCGGAAAGCAGAAGTACCGCTTGCATCGAAGAATTCCTAACCGATTCTTTGTCCATGTGAATCTCTGTGATTCATAACATCCCAAGCACACAGCATCATGAACCACTTGCTAGTTTGTTTCAATAGCTGTTTAGCCAATTCACGAAGCTCATCGGCATTCACTGCTATTTGTGAACCAGGCTCTTTGGAAGCGGTTAAGGTCCATCCCTGCAAGATGGACAACACGGCATTTAACCCCGTCGGTAGGGATTTTGTCTAGTTACTTTCAAAGTTCAAGCAGCGCCCATCCTTTTCACTTAAATGTGAACGTTAGCTAGCCATGCGGCAACCTGACATGTTTGCGGGCGTCCAGCAACAAAAAATCTTAGCCATGTGCCATATGGGTCTGTGTTTGCAAGGGGAGGCAGTGAGAACGAGGTGTGGACAGCCATGCGCCAGGATTTGGCTTGGTGGAGGCAGCAAGAATGAGTCCAACATCCCCCAGTTTCAAGTGAGCAATTCCAAAACCGATTTTCCCGTTGGCCAGTGAAAGTATGTGGTTCTACCTGATTCATAGGGGGAGCAGCAAGTCTTATCATGGTCTGCCGATTTTTTGGGAACCCCCCAAAATTGCTTAAGGGACAGGAAACCAGCCAAAAAAGGGCTACCCTCAAAAAGCAGGCAGTGTGCTTTTTTGGATGCTCCCCCTTTTGGGATGGATTTGTTCAGGGAAACACATGGGGAAAAAGAAGAAGAACCAAACATTTTAAGGCGTCCCCACCGATTTTTCTGCCCAGTCACCGCTTTGGCACCCCAAGGGAATCCCGTCTCGGGACTCCGCCTGAGGCTGGCCGCGCGGTCCCGGGTGTGCCCGGCGGTGGACAGCATCTCCAGGCCCTGCTCCCAATCCTCCCACTCAAGACGGGCTGATTCCGCAGTCGGGGCGGGAAGCTTTGGAGGTAAACCGTCCTGGGTGTGGGTCAAAGATAGAGGTAACCGCACAATTCAATGCTAGAGGTTGAGTCCTTGTCCATTCTTTCCATGCATCGTTCTTGTCCGAAAACCGGATCCGTTTCCCTGGGTTTCCGGAGGCTTTCTAGGAACATGCAACTCATTTAAACTCTTGGAACATGCAATTGCAGCTTCAATTCACAACTCAGATTACGACTTATTACTATTATTCTAAGCAAAATTACTATTGTACTGTTTCCAGGGGTTCCCTGCAATTCAAACTCTTAATGAAAGCCCCGCCCGCCGCGGCGCGGGAGGTCGATTTGATTTTTCCGAGAGCATCGACTCATAGAGTGAGCCAAGAAGCTACCATGGGAATCATGAAGTTGGGATTTGGAAAGAAACAGATCCAAATCAACCACTCTCTGAAATGGATTGACAAAAAGCAGGTGGATTTGGGGAAAAGGTGTACCCAAATGCAACGGGGTCGCTGGGTGCTTTTCAGTACTCCTTCTTGAAAAGAGAACCAAAAGAAAAAGCACACAGATCACAAACCCCCGTGTCCCCACCCACCCTGGACCCCACTGCGTCCTCTTTTGCAGGACAAGGGTGCCTCCAGATTCCATGGAGTGGAAGTGTCTTAACAACCTTTATTTGGCCTCTCTTTAAAGGGGCTGAGGTCTGGTGAACAAAAAATACACAATACTGCTCCAAGGAGGCTCATGTGCGCACAGGGCTTGCCGCATTCTGGGAAGATCCTGCCCATATCCGGCGTGCACTGGAAGATCACCTGCAAGCCAAGATAAACCCGAGAGAAGCCTCTTGCCTAGGTCATGTTCTGAACCAACTCCCTAAACCCCCCCCCCCCCCGGCGGAGGTGCAATCCACTTCCCAACCCAACCCATGGATCCTCCAGGGAGGTGGGGCGCTGCAGAGGCATCTTCGCTCCTACCTCGTCGTCCATGTTAAAGATCACTGGCTCTCTGGAAGGGCTGGCCTCACGGCGAGCCAAGCGCCCAGCGCGGACCCATGCTGCAGGAACGGTCCTTTGTTTTCTCAACGTCTACGAAACCCGGCAATTCTAGAAAGCTCCCATCTAGCAGCTCAAAGATGCTTCCCATGGAATCATCACTTCTCCATGGACCCCCAGCTATGAAGGGTTGAAGCCACA